AAATCACAATTGCTAGGAGTTCAGGTGACCAAACTAGCGCGCGGGAGAAGATCTGGGACTCCCACAGCCGTAAGCAAGTCGAGAGTGACAGAGGGCCAGGCGGGAGGGGAAGAAGGAGTGGGCTGACTCCCACATCTGAATCCTCAACCTCGCCATCTGTTCGACCCTGCCACTGGGTTTGTTGAAGGGAGCCGAAAGGCTTGGACTGCATATGCAGAAGCAGCTCTGAGACATCATGCTGTCTGCCGTCAAGTCGCCAGCCTGAGATGGCATGGCGAAATTCAAACAAGCCTAACAGGTTCAGTAATCTGGGGGCTCGCTCGTCGCCTAGATGGGATAGGACGGACTGGAAAGCACCCAGGTCATACCCAAAGCTCGAGATCTGATGCAGAGCCTGGAATAGGGCATTAGCGTAACACGAGTTGGACGTGTTAGTCAGAGCGCGTTTGTGCACTCCTTCGGGTCTAATTTCCGCTTGTCCTGAGGACTGCGGATCAGACGCCTGCTTGTCTGCCGGGGTGTGACGAGCTGTGCTCGACTGATTGGAGGCTGTGCCATTCGACCGTGGCTTAAAGAAGTGGGTCAGTGACCGTTCTTGGGGCTTGGAGGGGAAAGCAGTAACGGCTTCCTCTGCCTCCGGTTGCCCTCGCAGCCACTGTGTACTCACCTGATAAAGTACGGGGCATTGTTCCGGGTGCAGTCGACGATCATAGACCTTGTAGCCGCAGAATGAACACGGGTGTCCCTTGGCAAGGTGAGGCGAGAAACCCTGACATATAGAGACTGCGCGCTTGTGCAGCCTTGACCAGTCCTTAGGATGCGCCTGACGGAAGTGTGACTTGACTTTGGTGTGATCGAAAGTCCAGAAGTCACACGTGAGGCACCTATGGATCAGGACCCGGGCCTCCGGTGTCTTTGAGATCACCGCTATTCGATGTTGTGGGAGTTGGGCAATGTCCTGTCGCAGCTGGGACAGGGTCCTTACCTCAGGGTGACTTGAGTGTTTGTCAGTCACGTTCAGAGTTCGAAGCTTCTGGGGTTCCGGACATGCTCCTGACAACAGGTGGTCACGTAGACCTTTCCATTGATGAAATTTGCGCGTGCAAGCGGCACATTGCGGCATCCCATCCACCGCGTGGAGTTGCCGATCGAAGCTTGATGGCACAAATCGGTCAATGCTGGCTGGATGCACTCTCGACTTGTGTAAGTGTAACCCGTTTGCTGTCTCGAAGGAGGCATCGCAGAGTGTGCATGCATGTAGGGCTACAGGGTGCTCAGCTGTTTCAGGGAGCTGTGACATGAAATGCAGCTTGTCCCGGATGACTTGCAGAACAGAAGGATCGGTTGTGATATCTGGGCTTCTGGCTGCACGCCGCTCAAGTTTGCGGAGTCGCTTCCTGAGCTTGACCTGCATCGCTTGAACTGGGTCCTGAATGCTATAAAGCTGGAAGAGGTCCTTAGTGGTGATGCGGCTGGTGTGTGCTGGCAAGTTCAGCACTGATCGCACCTTGTAAGCATGCCAACTGCGTAGCTGCTTGGCCGACTCCTCGCTAAGTCCGACGTCTGAGAGGCCTGTAGTCAGTGTGCTCAGGACTGTGCTTTGCCAAACCTTAAGTCTCGACATGGTGCTCGCGTGCCGGCGATTGTAGACAAACTGGCGGACTTGATGCAGCTTTTGCTTGGCTTCCCCAATGCGGTAATGTAAGGACTGCAGCTCGAAGTGGTTGTAGGAGATCATAACCCCCAGGTACTTGCTACAGGAGACCCACTGGAAGGCGGGGAAAGATTTGTTGGGCCCTATGCGCCATCCGCGAACCTGCTCGCCCTTGGAGTTGGTGATCCAGCAGCCATGTTTGTTCATCACGTTTTGGGATTCTCTTCCCGCTAACTTCACTAAGATGACGCACTTGCTAATGTTGACGCGAAGGCGGTGTTTGCGGACCTCTTCAAGTAGCGCTGCGATGAGAGCATGAATGGCCCTGAGGTCCTTGTCAGAGCGGATAGTCCGATGGAGCGTGAGATCATCGGCATAGCCAGTCAGGAACTTCAAGACCTGCTCAGCACCGAAAAGGTCGACCAGAGAGCGGAAAAGGTCACCTGTAAGGAACGAGAAGAGTGTGGGGGCAAGCTTACATCCTTGTTTAATGCCTGCTGTGGTTTCAACAGAGGTGGAATCTCCCTGCGCGTGAAGAACATAACGAGACCCGTCATGTAGAGCCTGAACAAGGTGGACTGTGTCCTGATCGGCCCCTTCTCTCTGAAGAAGGTCGATGATCTCTTGGCGAGAGACAGTGTCAAACGCTTGGCTGAGGTCAAGAGCAAAGGTGAGGCCGCCGACTAAGGCTGGGGCCTGTGTGCCTTGTTGCAAGGCATGTCTCGTGGGGTGAGCCTGTTCTAACAGGGATCGAGCCTCTCGCAAGTGATGCACCACGCGTTCTAGCGCGTCTGACAGCCCCCGACCTGGTAGATAAGCGAATTGTGGCATGTGCTTGAGGAACGAGAGTGTCAGTGGTTGAAGCGCTTCTCTGGCTGCTCCCGCCAGTCCCTTTGCGTCAGGTCTAAGGATGCCCAGGGGTCTCAGGTTTGCGGGTCTGTCAGAGGGCTTGCCCGGCTTGGGTATTAAACAGAGATCTGCGTCTACTAGGTCGGATTCTAGACTGTCCTCGGCCTGCTTGGATGCTACGTGTTCGGAGAGGACCGGTGCAACGAGATCGCTACACAGCCTCCATACAGCCGCTGGTGCCGCTCCGTCAGGAACAGCTTTGTTCGGCTTGATGGAATGTATGTGAGCTGCTAGTTTGGGTGGCTCCAAAGCAGGGAAAGCTCCATGCATTGTCCGTAACGGAGGGTGGGCCGCAAATACCTGATTGGCATAGTCCCTGAGGGCTGCTAGTTCCTGCGCTGGACCTAGGAGATGTCCTGTGTTGTCCTTTAGCTGAGCTCTGCGCGCGGGCTGCCAAGGCTGCAGCTTTTTGAGGGTCTGGAAGGAGATATGTTGATCACCTTCAGCTAGACTCGCATCCACCTCCGATATGAAACTCGCAATTCGATCTTTCTTTGCTTGTTTCACAGCTTGGCGATGTGCCACTTGTGCCAGCTCAGCTTCTATTTCCGGCGGACGTGGCGTGTTCTGATTAGGAGGCTGTGCCATTGCTTTAGGTGACTCGATCAGCTGTGCTGAGGGAGTGGTATTCGCAGCCCTGTCATGGGTGCGGGCCCGCCACATGCGACGGGTTTCCGATTCCAGCAGGATCGGTCTTCTTTTGGGAATTTTTGGGAAAAAGCGTTCTGCACCTTCCAAAAGCAACGCATTCCATGCCTTGGGGTCCTGGCAGGTGTCAATTCTGGAAGCTATCCAGCTGTGCAGTGCCTTTGCCGTCTCGTCCTCCTCTCTGACCGAGGCCTGTAGAGCTAGTGAATCGTAACGGCGCGTGCTGGGCTTATGGGATGGGAGCAGCCAGTGATGCTGGAGGGGTACGTCAGCTTTAAGCGGGTAATGCCCTCCTTTCTTCCAGCTTCCCAACGGGCAGTCCACCCAGGGGGCTGACCTTTTTGCTTTGCCTCCCGCCGTAGATTCTTTGGTTAGAATGAAGTCAATTTGCGACTCCACTCCTCCTTGTGAGAAGGTAGCTATATGGTCACATTGCCAGGTGTTAAGGGCAACCAAACGCAACCTGAGCAGCAGGTTAAACAAGTTGGATTCGTCAGGGCGGTCCTCAGTAGGTGGCTTCACGTGCGTTCCCACCAATGGAGAGCTCGGACGCAAGGAAGTGTTAAAATCACCTGCTACAATAAGGGAGTCCCTCTTAGGCACCTGCTTGATCACCTTGGACATGACAGATAGCACCTTAGCACGGTCGTCCTTATTGGACTGGATGGTCTTGGCAGAAGACCAAGCGTGTTGGTACACCGCGACAACAACCAGCCGAGTACCTGCAATGTCCGCACGAGCTTCTAAGACTCTACCCGGGCTCCACTCCTTCCAGCGTAAGCTCTTGGGGACGAACTTGGGAGAGAATAGGATCATGACTCCATCTGCGCGAGTCGTGGATGGAGCTCGCGGTTCTTGCCGAGTGTTTCGCTTCGCTGCTTGTTTAGGCCGGGTGTTGGGTTTGGTAGACTCCGAGGCTGAGGAGATACAGTACCACCCAGAAACGCTGAATTCACTGGTCTCAGTCCAGTGCGTTTCCTGCAATATGAGGATGTCGCAGTGATGAGAGGCTTCAGCTGCTAGCCATGTTTTGAGTTCGCCCCATTGCTGTTGGCCTAGGTGGCCCGCGTTCCACGAAAGAACTCGAATGGATCTTTCCAACCTTCCTGCCCTGCGGGAGGCTGTGCCATATGCAGGGGAGTCAGCAGTCTGTGACTGAAGCTCTCTTCGAGTGGGTGGGGGGCGCACCCCCAGACGATCAACCAGGGTAGGTGTCAGAACCTGCCCTCGGTATGGTACGGGCCCGTCACTACGGACTGTCCTTCTACATGCTGTCTTGAACGAATTCTTACGAAGAGATGCAAAGTTTTGTGAGTGCACTGGCAATTGCGCCATCCGCTACTTTCGTCAAGAGACAGAAGCCTAATGACTCCCTCCACCGCGCGGAGGTGGAAACCCTACCGCCTACCCAGTGTTGCAATGTTTTAAACAGAGTCTGGGCCCAGGAATTGGGACCTGGCGGCTCAAAGCAGCTCCTGTGAGAAAAGGGAGAGGACCATGGCGTAGAAGGAGGCACAAACCTTTACTGTTCAGAAAAGAGCCCAGTTGGGACCTCTAGCACAGCAGTTGCGCCCCAAGCCTGTTCGAAACCTCTCATTCAGCGCGGCCGCTTGAGCACTTGTGGCGGCTTATACTACTACTACTACTACTACTACTACTACTACTACTACTACTACTACTACTACTACTACTACTACTACTACTACTGCTATGCTACTTCTACCTTCGCATGCTACTGCGACTTTGTACTATATTCTGCTGCCATCAATCTCAGGAGCCAAATGCCGAGATGCAGCTGGCTGGCGAGGACGTCTTCCTGGGTGCCGATGATGTTCCTCGGCCCACGGAGGAGATGATGGATGACCTGGAGGAGCAATCTTGGCAGGGTTCTACTCCTACAATATAGAAGTATATATTGACCACTACACCACTATATACACCACTACCCAACCACACAACAAGACCACCACACCACCCCTCCACCAGGCCAGTACACCAACACACCAACAAACGAACACGCGGACATATCAACTACTAGTACTACTATCTACTACTACTACTATTACTACTACTACTACTACTACTACTACTACTACTACTACTACTACTACTACTACTATATACTATACTTTTACTACTACTACTACTATTACTACGACTACTATTACTTATAGTACTGCTACTACTATACTACTACGACTACGACTACTATATACTACTACTACTACTATACTACTACTATACTACTACTACTACTACTACTACTAGTACATACATATAGTACTATATAGTACTACTACTACTACTACTACTACTACTACTACTACTACTACTACTACTACTACTACTACTACTACTACTACTACTACTACTAATACTACTATACTACTACTACTACTACTACTACTACTATAACCCTAAACCCTAAACCCTAAACCATATATACTACTACTACTACTGCTACTACTACTACTATACTACTACTACTACTATATATAGCTACTACTACTACTACTACTATACTATATATACTACTAATTTAAAATTACTAATACTATATGTGGTTCTGCATCTATTGCTACTATATATATATATATGTGGTTCTGCATCTATATATCTGCTACTATATAAAACCCTTTATAAAATATAATCTGTATATGTAAAGTCTGTGTGTATATATATATATATATATATATTTCAAAACAATTATACTATATACTATATTATATATAAACTACATATGCATATATATATATATAAACTACTAGTATATTACTAGTACTACTACACTACTATACTACTACTACTACTACTACTACTACTACTACTACTACTACTACTACTACTACTACTACTACTACTACTACGACCACTACTACTACTACTACTGCTGCTACTTCTACTTCTACTTCTATTATACTACTATATACTACTACTAGACTATCTACTATATATAGTACTATGCTACTACTATACTATACTACTACTACTACTACTACTACTACTACTACTACTACTACTACTACTACTACTACTATACTACTACTACTACTACTACTACTACTACTACTACTACTACTACTACTACTACTACTACTACTATACTACTACTATACTACTAACTACTACTAGTACTAGTAGTACTGCTACTGCTACTGCTACTGCTACTGCTACTGCTACTACTACTGCTACTACTACTACTACTATACTACTACTATACGTATACTACTACTACTATATACTTCTACTACTATCACTACTACTACTACTACTACTACTACTACTACTACTACTACTACTACTACTACTACTACTACTACTACTACTACTACTACTACTACTACTACTACTACTACTACTATACTACTACTACTACTACTACTACTACTACTACTACTACTACTACTACTACTACTACTACTATACTACTACTATACTACTATACTACTACTACTACTACTACTACTACTACTACTACTACTACGACTACTACTACTACTACTACTACTACTACCCACTTTATGTGTCTTGGCCCGCTGATCTGCTTCTCCAGGACGAAGATCGCGATATCCAGTGCAATTAATGCATCTGGCCATGTATCCTGAGCTTGGTGAGCTTGGCTGCATCTCATGTGGACCATGCACGGGCACATAAAGTCAGGAAACATGCTTCCGCTAACACCGAAGGGGTCCGCATGTCATGCCAGTGTATCTAAAAGATGGCTGGTGGTTGCCGGCTTCAAAGATTCGTGACTGCCCGCTGAAAATCAAAACTTTCAGCATCGGGGACCGAGGCGTGTATCGGCGTGTATCTGCGTGTATCTGTCTCTTAATAAGAGACTTAGGCGTGTATCAGCGTGTATCTCTTGATCCTTGGAGGTCTCAAGTTTTCCGTGCACGACTTGATCGTGTACGTGCACATGTCTATCTAGATCACCACTGTCTCTTACATGTGCTCCCAGTGAACCTTATTTGGGTCGCCAATGTCTCTTATGTCGCCCCTGAACGTCTCTTATTGAGCCCCTGAACGTCTCTTATTGAGCCCCTGAACGTCTCTTATTGAAGAGTGTAAGTGTGCTTTTGTGTTTCAAACTCTGCTTGCAAGCCATGGGAAAGCCTGCTCTAGTCGATAGAAACAGATCGGCCGAAGAAAAACAAGAGATGTATGATGGCTGGTCAGAAGCCAACAAGTGGTGGCAGCCAGGACTTTTTTTTTTTGTAGTGCTTCTGTATACAAAACACAAACACAAATCGCAGGTGTGGATATACATTGTGTTAAAATAACCACTATATACAGGAATAAGTTAAGATATTGCTTAGTCCAAAAAAGATTGTACATTGTATGCTCTGTATACATCTATTATTGCAACGAAGCATACCTGTACCGCTTAATTAATCCTGTGGCACAGGATGGAGCACGAAGGGCCAGGAAAGGGGAGAAGGAAAAGAGAAAGGCCAGGAAAAGGGCAAAGGAAAAGACCAGGAAAGCACCGAGAAGGACCACAAGGGAAAGGGAAAAGCGAAAGGCCAGGAAAAAGGAAAGGAGAAGGGCCAGGAAAAGGGCGAAGGAAAAGGCCAGGAAAGTACCGAGAAGGGCCAGGAGAAGGGAAAAGGAAAGGTGAAAGGCCAGGACAAGGGCAAGGGGAAAGGCCAGGAAAGCACCGAGAAGGGCCCAGAAAAGGGTAAAGGACAGGAGAAAGGCCAGGAAAAGGGCAAAGGGAAAGCCCCGGAGAGCCCCGAGAAGGGCCAGGAGAAGGGAAAAGGAAAGGAAAAGGGCCAGGAAAAGGGCCAGGAAAAGGGCAAAGGGAAAGGCAAGGAAAGCACCGAGAAGGGTCAGGAGAAGGGAAAAGGAAAGGAAAAGGGCCAGGAAAGGGCAAAGAGAAAGGCCAGGAAAGCACCGAGAAGGGCCAGGAAAAGGGAAAAGGAAAGGTGAAAGGCCAGGAAAACACCGAGAAAGGCCAAGAGAAGGGGAAAGGAAAGGAGAAAAGCCAAGACAAGGGCAAAGGGAAAGGCCAGGAGAGCACCGAGAAGGGCCAGGAGAAGGGAAAAGGAAAGGACAAGGGCCAGGAAAAGGGCAAAGGAAAAGGGCAGGAAAGCACCGAGAAGGGCCAGGAGAAGGGAAAAGGAAAGGAAAAGGGCCAGGAAAAGGGCAAAGAGAAAGGCCAGGAAAGCACCGAGAAGGGCCAGGAGAAGGGAAAAGGAAAAGAAAAGGGCCAGGAAAAGGGCAAAAAGAAAGGCCAGGAAAGCACCGAGAAGGGTCAGGAAAAGGGAAAAGGAAAGGTGAAAGGCCAGGAAAGCACCGAGAAGGGCCAAGAGAAGGGGAAAGGAAAGGAGAAAGGCCAAGACAAGGGCAAAGGGAAAACTCAGGAGAGCACCGAGAAGGGCCAGGAGAAGGGAAAAGGAAAGGAAAAGGGCCAGGAGAAGGGCAAAGGAAAACCCCAGGAGAGCCCCGAGAAGGGCCACGAGAAGGGAAAAGGAAAGGAAAAAGGCCAGGAAAAGGGCAAAGGGAAAGCCCAGGAGAGCACCGAGAAGGGCCAGGAGAAGGGAAAAAGACAGGAAAAAGGCCAGGAAAAGGGCAAAGGGAAAGCCCAGGAGAGCACCGAGAAGGGCCAGGAGAAGGGAAAAGGACAGGAAAAAGGCCAGGAAAAGGGCAAAGGGAAAGCCCAGGAGAGCACCGAGAAGGGCCAGGAGAAGGGAAAAGGACAGGTGAAAGGCCAGGAGAAGGGCAAAGGGAAAGGCCAGGAGAGCACCGAGAAGGGCCAGGAGAAGGGAAAAGGAGAGGAAAAAGGCCAGGAAAAGGGCAAAAGGAAAGCCCAGGAGAGCACCGAGAAGGGCCAGGAAAAGGGGAACGGAAAAGAGAAAGGCCAGGACAAGGGCAAGGGGAAAGGCCAGGAAAGCACCGAGAAGGGTGGTAAGTTTGGCTTGGTCACTAGACAGGGCATGGAAGATCTGTTCGGTTCCAGAGACAACAATGATCAGTGGTGGGGTCCCCAGGAAAGTGGCCCGTCAAGATCCTTAGCTCAACTAGAATATAGCTCGTACCTTTTTTCCATGATGTATGTAAATTGTATATCTGTTGCATATGTACCTATACACATGCATTGTTTGTGATGCATTGATCCGAGGCTCCTCCTGGGAAGGTCGTGCTGTTGCACCGGAAAAGAGAACCTGGGAAGATGCGAGCCAGTCGAAAGGCCTGGAAACATATGTAGGGATTTCCGGGGGTTCGTCTGCTGCATCCAAACTTGTAAGGGAAAACTTGTAAGGGAGCCCTCGATCCCTTCCCTAGCGATCCACAACCCCATGAACCTTGAACCCTGCATTCATTGCTAGGCCTGCCAGATCAGTGGGAGGATCCCCAGTCAAAGAAGTCGCTTGGTTCGATCAATCGTCTGAAAACCACTATCTGTGCTGCAGAGACACACATGAACCTGCAGGCCACGCCGCAGCTTCACGCGGCAGTCCTGGGCCAGTGATGTTACGGAAGAGAGCCAGGACCAGGAGCCCGAACCTTCTTGGGCTGACCAGGAATCTCCCAAGAAAACGGGCTTCATGTTCCCAGGGAACCCGAATGATGTTTTTCGGCTTACATTCTAGTGCCCTGCATATAAACCATATTAGAAACATAAATCCCCTGCATGGCATCTCTCGCTGAGGTTCGAAAGCTGACAGAGGAACAAAGGGCTCAGATTGAAGTGGCTCACACTGCACTGGACCCGAACCTTCACAATTCTTAAAACTAGACTGGGCATTATGTCGTGAGGCTCTGGAGAAACCCGAGGACATCGACCTGGCCGAACGGAAACGCCTCAACGAGGGCCTTCGCCGGCGAATGAACAGTGCCAAGGGCCAGCCTGTGAGTTCCTACCCCCCTTCGTATACTGCAAGCTGTCTTATGCACCCTTATATAAACCCTAAACCTAAAACCTTGAACCCTGGCAGGACTACGCAAGGGTCTGGTTGAACAATGGCAGGCGGCAGTGTCGCCAACGGAGAAGTCCCGAGGCAGCAGTGTATGTTATAACTGTACGAACCAACATCCCCGAACCCTGAACCTTAACAATCCACAACTGTGTGGCCTTCTCGATTCGTTGCAGCTGAGGTTTCAATTCTTGAAGGCATATCTTCTCGACCGGGACATGCCCTCCATCGAGATTCAGCCGTACTTCGAGGAGCCACTGGTCTGGTCCTATAGAATCTTAACCTCAAAGCTTTAACTTACAAACCCTATAAACCCTGCGACCCTAAACTCTCTCTCTCTCTCTCTCTCTCTCTCTCTCTCTCTCTCTCTCTCTCTCTCTCTCTCTCTCTCTCTCTCTCTCTCTCTCTCTCTCAAACCCTAAACCCTGAACCCCTTAACTCACAAAGCCTTCGACTACTTCAGCTCAGGCTCAGTGAATCCAAAGACACCGAACACTTCGTCGAGCTCCCTCTCTGCGAGATTATCCAGAAATACAACAACTTACCTGGCGGCCCTGAGTATATCAAGTCGATCCAACAAAGTGGAACCCTCCCTCTCTCTCTCTCTCTCTCTCTCTCTCTCTCTCTCTCTCTCTCTCTCTCTCTCTCTCTCTCTGTTTTCTTGTTCCTGCTCAAAGTAGTAACATACACCTCCTTTCTGACCCAGCTAAGGTCAGGTGGGAAAACCCCACCCCCAGTTCTCAGATGACCTTTGGAAATTGTACAAGGTCTATAAGTGCACGGACCACCTGAGAATCCCGGCTGCAGTTCCTTTGCATATCTCGGTAGCTGTGTGATGTTGTTGTCCTCCATGCAATCCAAGGTTCGAACATCTCCAGAGTGGGTTCCAAAACGCGGGCCAAGGTCCAGCCTTCGCAGAACCGACAGGAGCGGCAAGCCCTCGCAGACACGCTAGAGAAGAAGATCGCCGGGATGAAGACTGGCACGGCCGAGTCAAAGAAAGCAGGGAACAAAGCGAAGTCGAAGAAGGATCGAGATGTGTGTGCGATTGCAACAAAAGAGTCTAGCTAAGCCTAAACCCGAAACCCTAGTTCCTAAACCCAAAGCCCTGAACACTCCTACTTTCCCAGGAACTGACAGCCGACGAGAAACTGAAGAAGGATTTCCAAAAGGATCACCTGGGGCATCTTGCCTGAATCTATTTGTAGTAGAAACATTTAATGGGCTATAGGTTAATCGTTTGCAGCCGAGGATTCGTAATATGGCCGACAAAGCTGTGCACATCGCATCGGAGATCAGCTCCTGTGGGCTTCTCCACCAAGAGGCACACCCTAAACCCGAAACCCAAAACATTAAAAAACCTTAAGCCTGAACCCTGAACCCTTAACCCTGAACCCTGAACCCTGCACAGAAAATGGTGGAAAGCTTGGGGAAAGTCAACACGACGTGCACCAAGATCTACAATGAGTGGCTCGGCATGCATGCAGTTGCAACATGTCACGTTCCAAAACCACAAGCCTTATAAATCCTCATCGATGCTGAACCCATTACAAAACCCTGAACCCGACCCAAGCTACATCCCAGGATTCAGCAGATGGTGTTCTCGTGCAAGCCGGTGAACGAATGCTATGAAATACTCGATGGATACAAAGTGGAGCTGGAGGCTGCCTCGATCTCTCCATCTGAAATTCAGCACTAGAAACACCCGAAGTACCAGCCTTATAAATTTCGTCCAGGAATGCCAGAAGAAGATCACCAACGGCGAGGACATTGTGGATTCGCACAAGAGACGTACCTCGGCTTGATGCCCTGAAAACTGAATTCCTGAACCCTAAACCCTAAAACTCTAAACCCTAAAACCCTAAACCCTACCCCTGAAACCTCAACCTTAACCTGTCCTCGCAGGCCTGGCTACGGAAAAGAGAAAAAGGGAAAAAGAAGAGAAGAAAGAAAAGCAAAAGCATGATGATGACGACAGGGATGATGGATATGATGCAGATGAAAAAGATGCCGCCGAAGCCGCCGCAGAGGAAGAATGGCCGGAGGAGGATCCTGAACCGCCTGCAAAACGCAGGTAAATGAGTGGCTGGATGCAAGCATAGGGGCCAGGGGAGCAGCAGTGTTGGAGTGCATGTGTATTGTATATACACTTTTGTACACGCAGGCTGCTTTCAAACTTCACGCATGCTTTCTGGGCAAAGCACTCGACACTGGCTGCACGTGGTCATGCCAAGGGCATGGCAACTGTGTTTTGCTTCTGCAGAACTTTCTTCTGAACTGATGAGAAAACATGCAATCCTGAACGAGTTGCCTTCGAGTTCGATTCATCACGCCGCATACCAGAATCGCAGCGATGATTGAATGCCGTTCCTCAGCTTGATCAGCTGGTCTGTGGTGCCTATACTTCATCCATACCCAGTGGCTTCGGAGCCCTAAATTTAGATTCTAAACATATGTGTCAAAAGAATCAAAAGGTACAGGGTTTAGGGTTTAGGGGTTCGTAAGGTGTCGGTGTATACTACCCAATAACTGGTGCCGTAGACTTTATGTCGACAGGAACCCTAGAACACAAACTGTCAGAGGTTATCGGGCTTATAGGGTTTAGGTTTCTAGGGTTTAGGGGTCCAAGCTTCAAGGCAAACCTCAGGCACAACCGCAGTTGTTGCTTCCACATGGCCTGTTCCATAAACCTTTGATGTGAAGCCTTCGCCGCGATCATGATTCGATGCTGGCCGGATGATATGCTGTTCATACATTTCCGAGACTAGACCTTTGCTTGATTACATGTTTAGTTTTTTGTAGTGTTCTTCGGTAGTAACAATCGTAAACCCTATAAACCACCAAACCATGTCAGTGCTTATCAGTGCTCCAGAAAACAGCCAAGGATCGAGACCTCGCGATCATATGATATGTCGCCGAGCCCCTCTCACGAAGCATTCGAATCTTGTGTTTTCTTGGTTAGTGAAGTGCATCCGAGAACAGCCCAGGAGAGAAGGATTCAAGATGTCAACCTCGGAGTCGATCGGCTCCGATGCTATTCACCGCTATGTCCAAGAGACAACTCAACAGAATTTGAGGCTTCTATCTCAGGGACAGGCCAGGTTGCCAACTGAATTGAGGGTGCAATTGTTTAGACCACGATGGAAACCAACTAACCCTGAAGGTGCCTTTGTCTGAGCTGGCCGTCTCTCTGGAGCGACTCTACAATCTGCCTCATGCTCTGTTGAGGTGTCAGTGCTGCATTGCAAACGGGGGGATGTGATTCGATCCATATAGCATTGATTCATCTATCCCGGAGGAAAGACTTGTTGGACCTGGCTACTGCATTCCGTTCAGAGACATCTGGCGGCTCATGGGGCCGTATGAGATTGCTCGAGAGGTGGGTGGACCGACAACCATGGCGACATGCACTTCCACCATCCTTCAGGTTTCCAAACTGCAGCCTTTTGTCGGTCTGTTGAATCCTGTGAGGCTGGTTTGGAATATTGCAACCCAACAGAAATGTAGTTTCCATCCGAGGTTCGAGCTCACCGCCGTGTACGATGATGCACACGGCCCTCGAACGAGGGCTGTGAATCATCATATGATGCTGCCGCATGAAATTGTTGGATTCCTGCACGCATCGGGGAACTCACACCAGCTGTACGAATCTCTGGAACAAGCTGCTTGGTTCTGGCATGTTACTCGTGTTGCCTTTAAAATTGGGAACACTGATGTGTTTGCTTCTGTTGGCAATCCAAGGTTCGAGAATACTGGTCAGAGCAGCCGGACCAAAAGTGGGTCCAAGAAAACGCTGCACAGCTGCATCTTGAGTATGTATGCATCGAACAAGTGTAGAATTCAGGACGATGTTGTAGCTTAGGTTTGGGATCCGGAGCAATGTGTTCCGCTGCGAATCTACGGCGATGGTGCCGAGTTCACGAGTAGCACAGTTGCAAACAAATTGGAATACTTTTTAGTCCTAATTAAGACCGGCGGTATGTGCAATGCTGCCCGAAGCTAAGAAAAGCAGAAGTTCGAGATGTTCTTGCTATTGGCACCGCTGGCCGCGAATTCTTCGAGCACGACAAATGGCAGATTCTTGCAGCCCGGCAGAAACTGCCACAATCTATACATGTATAACATGAGCTAGTGGCGATATGCATTCTTACATGCTGGCGACCCGCCTTGGACTGCAGGCTGTCATGCATCAACATGTGCTACCACAACGACGCCTCTCGCCGGAAAATTCTTGATGTGATCTGTTGGTCCATGAAGGCACTGAGCAGCTTTGGCAGCACTTATGTCGGAAAACATGTATGTCGCATGCAAAGAACATAAACACATGTTCCGATGCAAGGTGATGGAGTATATCCATGGTCTGACCCATGGGGATGTGAGTTCTCCAACACGTACGAGCCTGCCCGACACCGTTGGGCAGGCCAACCATTGGCGAGCCATGGAGCATCATTTGGAGTGTTCGACGGCATACAGGCGGACCTCGAATTCATCAAGAAAATTTTGTTTCTGCAACGCAGCTCGATCGCATTTCCTTGTGGATCTATCGTACACATGTTACTGTATGCATACCGGCAAATCCAAGGTGATTATACGAGAAAACAATGTTGTTTTCTCTGTGGTGCTTTACAATGGGTTTATCGCCATGGCGATCCCGATGGACTGCCTAATGATCCGAGCCTCCTCTACAGCAACTTCGGTGAGGAGGCAGCACATCGGCAGACGTTTCTCGCTACGATTTAGCATCCATTGCCACACCGATTGTGTGAAAGCCTAAACCCTAAATCCGAAACCCCATATATAAACCTGCAAAACCTTCGATAATCAACCATAGTCAGTATAGGTTGGTGCGAGATGCTGCGGAATTCCAGCAGATCCATTCTGCGAGCCCCCTCACCCAGATACCAGCATTCACGCCGTGGCGAAGCTTGGACAAGAATTTCAGAATCATTTTACAGGGTCCAGGGTTTACAATAAAGTTTTCAAGCCTACATATACAGCTGGTCCAGGTGTATGGCCGGACATAATGCACCTTTTACATTTAGCCATTGTGCCGGATGTCTTGGGCTCCTTGCTGTGCGACCTCAGCGATTTGGCACCGAAAAGGGAAGCCGAGCTGCAAGCTCTGTACGAGAGCTATCGCTCCTGGTGCGAGGAAACCGGAGTGCCGGACCGTGCTGCAAAGAGGCTCTTCAGCAGTGCAACTCTTCACCCGAACTCGAAAGATTATCTGAGTATTTCCCAGAAGCTTTTATCGGGCACGGCCGCACGGTACAGTGTATTCTGGATGGCTCAGCTTCTTACCCACTTGATGAAATGCCATCCGGGAAACGAGTTCTATGCGATCCTCGGCTATATATTGCGGGTTTTCCGAAACATACATCTGCTTCTTATAAGGGTTTAGGGTATAGGGTTTAGACCCTATAGCTCGAATTGCAACGGAGAGCATGCAAATCCAAGGCTCCGAGGTGGGGTCTGTATAGCCCTTGCTACCATGGAAAGCATCTTCCTTCGATCTGGCAGAATTCTTACAGAGGATGCGGACCGCGACCTTCGAAGAGCTTACATTATTTACAGATCTGGCTATAACAAGCTAGCTGAATGGGCTCTTTCGACATCACTCTGTAGATGGCCCCTGCGGCCCAAGAATCATTACGTCGAGCACCTCGTGCTCGACACATCTCCGCAGAACGGGAGGTACATGCACAACTATCTTCAAGAAGACCACATCAGAAGGATTAAACACCTGGCTTCGAAAAGTCACCCTGCTTTCCTGGCGAAACACGTAATGCTTAAATGGGCGATACAAAGGACCATGAGCTGGGCGGACCTCGCGGAGTAGAAAAAAATCAGTCCGATCGAGGGGTGGAAGCCCCAGCTGCAGCCGAAACACCCTAAAACCCTTGACCCTAAACCGTGACGGTAGTAACAGCAGCAACGAGACCTTCTCAAGCCGTGCCTCCCTGTAGAGCGAGTGTGCGAGTCGAAACCCTTTAAAACACGAACAGCTCGAAGCCCGAGAAACCGGTGTCGTCGTCGTCGTCGTTGGTGTGTTTGTGTGTGTGTGTGTGTTAACACTATATATATATGTGTATATATATATATATATATATACACATTGCATATATGTGCGGCATGGCCATGTTTCATGTTTCATTTTTTTTGGCTCCTGGTTTGCCTGCATGGGCACTTTCGAGATCGCTCTGTCGCTCTTGAACCACTATGTGGTGGGTTCTGGACACATCCCGCTGGGGAATATCATTGGTAGCGGAAATTCTCAACAGAGACTGATACAGGTGCTGCATTTTCGAACTGATATATGCATGCCCCGCAACAAGTGTGGACCCGGTTCCACCAGTTTTCTGTTGTTTTGCGAGCCGGATGGAAACTTTTCATGCGGATGTAAACAGCTTTCAGAGAATTCCGGCACTGATCCCACTGAAGGTCAAAATTTTCATGGCATCATACTCAGGTAAAAATGGACCAAATAAGATACGTTGGGCTCAATGACTCTTGTTTGCTGAATGCCTTTTAATTAGGATACGTTGGGCCCGTGCTGGTGAGGCGGGCTGTCCACCACTGCACGGTGTTGCAGCGCCACGCCATCTTGACCTCCACCACCGAATCCTGCCCCAACGAGTGGGAGAGCGAGTTGTAGATCTCCGGGAAGTGGCGGAAGGCCTTCAAAGGCAGGGTGATCCTTTCATCACATACGGCTCGCAGTCGCATGTGCTGCTTGGAGTCATGGATGTCCGATACAGGGAGGTCTAGAACCACCTGCGGCGTACGGTTGATGAAGACCTTGGCAGCGAAAAATGATCCAATTTCGCGGTAGAGCTGCTTCCACTCCTGGTTCGTCGTAGGCACCGGGAGGTCATGCAGAATCACAAACTCTTTGGCCTCCTTCATCAACTCGCGATGGTCATCTCGTCGCTGCAGGTTCTGTTGCTTGTTCTTGGCCCCCCTTTTGTGGGACTTGATGGTGATCGGCAAGTGGCTCCACACAGCATAAAGGTGCCTGGCCAAATAAGTGTGGCCGAAGCAGGAGAAGAGGCTAACCAAGTCCCACGTCTGCACTTCCTTTTGCCAGTGGGTATTCCCTTCCCCCTCAGCATGGAACGGGCCGATGATCTTGTCCAAAGGGGGCCTCGTGCCCATTGCGACCTGTGCCTCAATCTCCTCCATGGTGAGGGCAATCGGCTCAAAGAAGGGCTGCTAAAGGAGCAGGGATGTGTCCTCATCTCCAGCATGAGCTTTTCCCCTTCGGGGAGAGGCTTTGCCCACATAGGGGCCTCGAGGGGTCCCGGCAGCTGCTTCCATTTGCCCCCGATCATGCGCTGCTCCCCCATGTGCAGCTCGATGATGCGTTTGAGGCGCAGGATCTGGAACTCGACCGAGCCCACTGCAACTCCCAGGACTGCCTCTGGAGACTGCTCCTCAGGGCCAAAGGCACCTGTGGACGACAGCCCCTCGCCGGAGTCCCGGGCGACTCGTTCGCCCTCACGCTGCAGAGCAGCCAAGGTGTCTCGAGGGCCGCGCGCAGCTGGGTACCCCAGGTATCGATGGAATCGGCCACAGGCCGGAGGATCTGGGCGCGCTGGGATCCCTCATCCTGCATGCGCTTGTTAGAGGCCTTGGCCTCTTCCAAGGTAGTCTGTGCAGAGAAAAACTCCTCTCCCTGATTCCCAGGGCCCTGGAGGTAGTTTCGCTTCAGAAGGGAGCGAAGCTTCTCTGTGTCGAGCTGTCGAAGGATTGACGCTCCCTTAGCCTCTTCGACACTCTGTGCGCCCGCTTGCATTTCGACGATCACATCCAGCTGGGGGTTGATGTGATCCAGGAACTCTTCTTCCGTGGGCTTCTTGGTTTGTCGACTGGGCCCGAGCTCTTCTTGGTGATGTCCATCGCCGCCGCCAGCTGGGGATGGAATGGGGTCTTTCTCCCGCCTCCTTGTTGGCAAACTCGTCGAAGGGTTGGGTTGCCACCGTGTGAGCCAGGCTAAGCCTCAGGGCCATAGGCACCTGGTCGGCAAAGCTGAGCTCCTTTTGGTCCGTTGGCCTGGGAGGGGGCTGGGCCCACGAGCCAATATCCACGGAGGCAGCTTCCTTCTGTGCCTCATCAGCATCCGTGTGCCACGTGACACCTCTGGGGCCACAAAACATCCGCCAGGAAGCCGAGCCTAGCTTGATCTCTGCCGAGGGTGGGCCCTTGTCCACTGCAATGACGGACTTCTGGCAGAGCTTGCACTTCCCCTCGACCTTGTTGTCCTGCCGTTGCCAATCCGCAAAGCAGTTGGGGCACATGAGGGTAGCCCCAGTGCTGCCAGGGTCCAACTGACCCATGCTGCTGTGTCCAACCCCTCTGCGAGCACGATTGTAGGGAGCAGCCAGCATCTTCTCCTGAGCCAACTGGCGCTTGTAGATCTGATACACCTCCAAGACCCTTTCCACGGCCGGGCGATTCCACTGCTCCGATTTGAGCTTGGAGAACAAGAGGCGATCTCCTCCTTTGTCAACTGCTGGGCCAAATCAGCACTCTTCTTGCCGATGCCGGGGAAGTCCTCAGGGAAGCCCTCGATGCGAAAGACCTTCTCCTCCAGGGTGCCGGCGGGTAGGGCAGAGTATGGTCTGGGCTTGTTGTCGGTAGCCCTGTCCATGTGATCATCAGAAGAACCGCCCTCAGGGACAAAGTCACCTGTGGTTGGCACCTCCTCGCTTCCCATGGGATCATCAGAAACACCTCCCTCAGGGACAAAGTCACCTGTGGTTGGCACCTCCGGTCCTGTGACAGCCACCATCTCATCGCCCTTTGCCAAGAGGCGGGACATGGCCGCTTCCATTTCCTGAAGCCGAAGGGCCATGCTGGTGTCGTCAACCTCCAAAGCCGTGAAGGAAGCCAGGGCAGTGTTTGCCGTCTCATCCTCATGGGCATGGACATTGTGTACCAGGGTAGCACGGGCCAAGGCAACATCATCGTCAGGCTTCTCCCATTCCGGATCACTGTCCCCTGTGTCGCGAGGGGGGATCAAACTCTCAACCGTCTCCATACTGGAGGCAAGGACGTCATCGACATTAGCAACGGGGGTGAGTGCCATGGTCGACAGTCGCAAGGGAGAAAGCGGGAGCGGTAACAAATTTTGAAGGACCCAAGGTCCACAATCTTGGGCCAAAATGGCAGAGCCATTTTGGCAGACGTCTCCTGACATAAGTCTTGCAAGTCGGCAAGCCTTGGTAGCAAGTAACTAATAGTAGCACCAAACTCCCGTACAATCACTCAGCCTAGACAAATTACTGGCGCTATTGCCAATCCCGACGGCAGAAAGAACGCGCTATGCAAGGGATCAACCTCACGCCCCTTTTATAGACGCCTTTACTTTAGCTCCTTCAGGCTTTCGCTCTTCGCAGTTCGCCAGAATCGCCAGTTTGGGTGGGTTTGTCTACTAATTCAGCCGCCGTGTGTTTTGCAAGTCCAGGAGCGACGAAGGGTCCGTCTCTTGATCGGACCGGACTTCAGCGCTAGGACTGTCGCTTTGGTTTCCCTGATCCCGTCGCGTCGCCCTTCCCGTGGCCGGGTTGCCGGAGACTGTCCCACCTGTTCCTTGCTTGTTGCCTTGCACCAATGCAAGGTGAAATAGACCCTGTGCATGTCAGCATGGGTGACAGCCGCCTCTATGCATGTGAATTACAGGTGCAGTTTGGTGCCTTCGGCATTCGTCGTCTCGTCGTTGTGGTTCTGAAAGTCTGTCTTTTTCTCATAGTTCGCAGCCCCATCTCCAGGCCCAACAACTCGCTGCTATGGAAACCAGACCAGGGAGACGTCACAGGACTTGTGTGGAAACCGTGCCTTGGGCCTATAGCGCATATTTCATACTGCTGCTGCGGCCGAAACTGATCCTGGATAAGGTGCGGCAGTGATTGCTCGAAGCCCACAACACTTCTTTGATCTGATGGATCCTGCATGGCCATGCTTTAACTGTCCGCACCACCAGCTGGGCGCCTGGCACCGTGGCCGCAGTTGCAGCTGCTGGAGCTGCCGCTGCCTAGCAAGTTCGAGTTCGAAAGGTCAGCTCGCAACTGCGCCGCATGCGGGCTCGGGGCCTGCGGCTTGGAGATTGCCATGCGCACAGAGGCGTCGATGGCCAGATCGTCCTGCCCAAAAAAAGCTTTAGAGCAACAGTACCCGCAGCAGTCGCACTCTGCAGGCCCCCCCAGTCCAGCACTTTGTCCACCTCTGCTTCGGCCTTGCGCTTTACTTTGATAGCGTGCTTTCTCAGCAAGAACGAATTAACACAGGGCCTCAACCTCGAGATCCGGCCCGTCCTGGAGTGCGTCTCTCTTTCCGGGCATGGAGCCTCAGCCTTCGGATCCGAGGCTGCGGCCATCTCTTCCATGCCTTCGTCGATCAACTCGTCGATGAGGCCTGCACGAGGAAGCTGAGCGCCCGCATCATCACGCGCTTCTCGCGGCATCGGCCTGCCCGCATCATCTCCCGCCTCATTGAGCTGATCGATTCCTGCCGCAGTGCCACTCCGTGGGACGTGCTCTACGTGCTCTGTGCTCTCGGATCGCGAGTCACGGTGCCTCCATCTCGGGAATCCTTACGAGGGAGTTCATTTGCTTCATGACCTGACGAGGCGACCAAGGCTTCGTTGTGACAGCTGTACGGCATACGATGGAAGCCGACGGAAGCCACACCTCTGCCGACTTACCCATGGAGTCTGACAGCCGCATCGTCGCTGCAGTCGTTTCTAGCTCTGCCACCGCCTCGGGACGACTCGGCCCTGCTTGGTCCATGAAATCATCTGCCCGCAAGTGTGCACGAGAGAAGGCTGCGTGCCACTCTGCTGCAGTACATAGCGTTGGTGGACTAGCTGCATGCGCGCCAATACAAGCAACTGAGCTGCCAGCAGACTGCATGATCGATCTAGAGGTGTACAAGCGATCCTATTGACGGGACCAATGACCACTCGGAAATCTCTAACATACATATACCTCAATCACGTCGCCTTCGCCTTGTTCGATCTAATGAGGGACTTTGCAAGCATTTGAATGCTCTTGGGGTCGCCCCCTTGCTTTGCCATGGCCTGGCACGATAGACATCCTACTACATACGAGTACATGCGAACGGAAAACAAGAAGCGCACTCCCTGAAAAACTCCCGGTAATGCGACGCTTCGTCGAGCCTGGATATCTTTCCGAATCTTGTCTTCCTCCTGCTCGATTTTCCTGCTTTGGCACGTCATGTCTTCATGGACCCGAGATGTTGTGTTGTGGCAATCCGACAAGCATGACTTCTGCGTCCTGATGCTTCTGTCCAAACCTCGAGCTTCAGAGCGTAGATTTCTCTGCCATTGTCGAACCATTTCTTTGGCAGATTCCTGCAACTGCTCACTCTGGGGCGGGGCTAAAGTGAAGGAACCCCCGATGCAATCGCGAAGGAACCCATCGAGAAAGCTACGCACAAGGCTTTGCAGTTGCGGGCCCATGCGGGCCCCGGCCCCGGGCCTGCTGGGCCTCCTGCGTGTGGCCCTTGCCAAACAGGTTTATTCCCAGCGGCATTGCGTCAGAAAGAGGCTGTCAAAAGGAATCTGTAAAAAATCTCCTTGCGGCTACAAGCACGCATACAGTATTGGCACGCAAGCAAAGTGCAAGTATTGGGGTCAAACCTGACATTGGGTGAATGCTTCATGCTTCGTGAAAGTTTAGAGTTCTTTCAATGAAAATGCATCAAAAGCCCACGACTGCAAGCTGACTGCGAGTGTGGCGACGACTCTCCCGCTTCCCTCACCCCTGGCTTGCAGCTTGCATTGACTTGCATGGCTCTTCAGGTCCGGCAAAGTGATTTCCCATACTGTCACTGAAGCTACAACAGCTTGGCAAGGATGTGTCTTGCAAGAGGGCAGCACGATTCCGGAAGTGATAGGGAAACCGAATGAACATGGCAGGCAGGTCCGGAAATCGTGGCGAGGAGCCAGACATGCCCAGTCTGATAAGGCACTGGTAGATGAATGCTTTTCTGATTGAAAGAGTACAGACAAAAGATACCGGTAAGCCTAGGCCTTCAAAATCAAAACATTCAGAAGCGTCCTACGAATAGTTCACGCAGGAGCGAGGTATCCATGTTTGGTAGATCCTGGTAGATGCGCAATCGTGCCCGTGGTGGGGCATACCACCCTCGACAGTCTGTCCCCAGAAGACTGTGGGCCCTGACAGGTGCATGCCCTACCCATGAAGCCATGAAGCACCACATGAAAGCGTGCTGAGCATGATGCCTGCCCTCAATGCGCGACCCAAGACAATGCCACACTCCGTTCCCCACTCGGACGCTGCCGAGATACGTTCGCTCTCAAAGAACTCTGCAATCAGCGTAGCTTATGCTACATGGAACGAGCTCCCCTCTTTTTGGCTGTCGGAGCTGTGTGCCCTGCTGACAGGCTAGAGGAAAGCACTGGACAAGTTGCAGGCAGTGGAAAGCATCCAGGCTGCAGGGTTTCCAGCCTGCCAAGAACCCTGCGAGGCGGAACTGCAGTGAACTCACCGTGCTGCTACGTCGTGGGACGCCGACAGCAATAACGCGCGAAACGCGGACTGTACCCGTGACGTTCACATGCAGAAGCAGAGACCTGTTCAAAAGTTGTAAAAAAAAGCGCGAAGAGACTTCGCGCGAGGGGCAGGCCCCGGGCCCTTTAAAGGCGACACTGTTCGTTAACTCCAACTGCTATGATCACTCTTCTCGCTCACAGGCTTAATTGCATTGTAGATCCTCATCACCTCAGCAGGAATAGACTTTCAAAACCGTTGCACTGTGCCACTTTCAGGCATGAAGCATTCTGGCGATGCTCCGTGAATGGCGACGGGACAAAGTCGGGATAGACCTGGCAACACGAGAAACACCAGCGGCCACCAATGGCCACTGGCTCGGCCACTGGCCTTCAGGATGAGGGAAAACACCAGCATGTGCCCCGGTGGTGACAGCGGGATGAGCAGCAGGATCAGGAAGGGCACCAACACGAGCAGGTCCTCGGAGCGACAAAAGAGAGCAAAGGCTGCCCGCCCTGGCAGCGCACCCTTTGCTCGCTCCTGTCCTTCACAGCTCGTCTGCAGATCCGGACTTCTCGATCTTCGAGGGCATGGTTCAGGAAGACAACCTGCACAGGCTGACACGCGGAATGACTCGAGAATGAAGCAGCTGTTCTGGAAACAGAACCAGAGAGGCTCACGGTGGGCCTTTAGGAGAAGCTTCAGCGCGAGGCGGAGGTCCTCCGAGAACACTCTGGGTCACGGCGGCACGGCACAGTGGTGCTAGAGAGATAATTGCATTGCTCTGCCTGAGAAAGCAGGCGAACTCCATTGGCCTGCCGAGACTTGAACGTCGGCAGGTGCTTTAAATGAACTGTTGCTGAGAAGGTCTCGGACTTGTTTTGCTCCTGCGGATCGCTACAGTCTTGAAGTACAGTCACATTACAAGGTGCCACATGCGCTCCAAACACACTTAGACTTGCTAGTTGGTTCCTGTTTTTGTTTATGCTCCCGATTACGGGACCAGACATGACTGGAGGCTTTTTTCATTTGCTCAACTTGCTTGTGCTTCCACGTGCCGCATCACATTGCCATGCACATTGACATGAAATCCGCGCCTGGAAAACGATTCCGCGCCGAATCTTTTGCCAGGAAGTTGCGAAAGACAACCTAAGCCAGAAGAATAGCACCCAGTCACCGCCCGTCGGCTGAATGAGCGTGGCATTTGTCTCCGGATCGGGGCGAAAAAGCCGCTACCTTGGGAACAGAGAGAACGAAGGCTTCACAACAGCAGATCGGAGGCGGGAGTCGAGCGCTGGTTGATTCGCTCCACGTGCAGCCCGACGCTTTGCGCAATGGATGCCTCAGAGCACCGGGGAACAGCCCGGCTCAGGGTCTCTGGCTCTGCCGCTCTGAAAAGAAAAGGAGGCCCTCACGATCTGCTCCTCGAGCATCTGCAGCTCGTCCCAGTCCAGGCCCTTGATGTGAACTACCTGGAGATCGGGAGCTCTGCAAAGCGGGGGGGGCCCTGCGGTGGCCCAACGTGCCTTTTCCGGGCTCTCTCGCACGTACTTCCGGTATGGAGCGACCTCCGAATATCGAATTCCAGCGCTCTCCGTGAAAGCCGAGAGGCGGTGAAGCTCGGACCCCGGACCTGAACCTCCAGGGCAGACAGCTTCAGCACCAGCCGCTTCAGCCGACGACCTGCAAAGTCGCGACGGAGCTTTCTCCCGTCTCCTACTCGCACGCCGGACGGCCGCCGGACGGCCGGACGGCCAGGGCACAGTGATTTCACCAGGAGAAAGTGTCTAGCCGCTACTGGGCTACTGGCCACCCCGGCAGCTCCTGTTGGTAATGACATACTGAATGAATAAAGCACGCTAAGAGCTCCTGTCTGCTTTCGGATAGTCGCTGAATCTCGGGCGAGAGGCGACAATCGACAATGGCAAGCTGCCAGGCGCGAGGATGTACACGAGTACTTTCCAACCCACTTCAAATTCACAAGCCCTTACGGTACGGGATGGCCCGAGATCCTTTCAAAAGGTCATCCTACCCTGTGTGCTTTCAAGGCCTGAGTGGTCCCACTCGGCAATGTCAGCTTGCACCAGCAGCTTCTCCAGCTGTAGTGCAACCTGAGCGAGAAGACTGTATTGGGTCGTGCTGCTTCCAACTTGCCGTGCAACTCACGGCGGTGTGCATGCTACAAAGCACTTTCCCGCATCTTCCGTCACATTAGCGGCTCCCGCATCTCGCGCCCGGCCTTGTCAAAGATCAAATCCACGTTTGCAAGCAGGACGAGGACTTGATGACCAGAGATCCGTCGATCCCAACCTGCTCTGGAGACCCGCCGTGGCAGCCGTGTGCAAGCGAGATCATTGGGTCCGTTGTCATGCTTTGGATGGTTTTTCCACCAAGGCAAACGCGGAACAAGTCCGTTGTCAGGTCGATGGGCTTCTTGTCTTGCAAGCCGCCCTTGCTGGCTGCCTGTCACGAGCTACAGCGGTTTGCAGGCGTTTTTCCTTGATACACTGGCACTGGAGGAGGAACCCTAACAATGCCTTCTTCATTTTCTTAAGCACTTTGGCTCGTTTCGCTTTGGCGGTCTTGAGCTCCTGCTTGGCCTCACCAGAAACAGGCAGACTCACCTTGTGTTCCTAGAATTCAAAATGTGCCGCTGCCATTTCTCGCCTCGAGCAGAACGGCTTCCTTTTGTTGTATCCGTCTCTCGGCCTCCTGCCAACACATGCTTCGCACACCGTTTGCAAACGCTGCTCGCTCCTGCGAGTCTTCGTACGGTGACCATTCACCCTCGGAGTGCTGAGTCTTGCCTTCAAGACGCTCCTGCAAACATCTCATTCTGCACAGCTAGAGGCTAGAGGCTCCATCAAGACGCTGCGCTCCCACAAGTCGCGGCTAAACGGCTGCTCAGCTTGGGAATCCTGAAGAGACCATCGCTGCAGAAAGGGGCACAAGTATGCGCAGGAAAGCTCGGAGCTTACAGGCTTAGAACACCTGGAGGACGGTGTCAACGTCAACCATCTGATCCCCTCGAAGGTACCTGCACTTCTCGAGCTGCTCGAGTAGCACTCCGGACTTGAAGTGCAAACAGCCAAAAGCAGGGCGCAGCATGAACTTCTTGCGCGCTTGAGATGCTGCCTCAAGTTTCGCTATCACGATTAAATGATTCTCCGTGCATCAGTAGGGTGACTCGCGATAGCTTTCTTTTCAGAGACGCCTGTTTGTGATCCTGCAAAGTCTCTACCAACTCACGGGTCATGCCTAGGCCTGCTGTGGCTGCGATGTCACTGCGAGCAAGATGCACGTCCGTGTGCGGTCTTGAAGCACTCCCGGCTGGATCTACAATCGACACTGAAGAAATTAAACTCCTGAGATAGCGGAGGAGTGGCCGTGCTGTTCGACGGTCCATTGAAAGCTGCACAGTCCCAAGAAGCCCAAAACCCAGCAGCACATCGCAGGCAAGGCAAGCAGCTTGGGCATCACATGCACCGGGCGCCGAAATGCCATTCCCGGACTTCGTCCATCTGACCAGTCTGGGAAGGACTGCATAAAGCCTGGAGGTCTGCAGACAATCCTGGAGCAGAGAAGAAAAGTCAACAAGGCCGACAACGTCTACGCCGTCCACGAGCATGTCGGTGCAAGAAGGCCTGTGACAGAGCACTGTCATGACATGCAGAGCTTCGGCCCAGCGTCGATGGCGACGAAGTACTGCTAACACTGAGTTCACCGAACTCGATGGAGGGGCAGTGCATGTGCCGGAAACGGAGCTCATCAGGATCTCCAGTGCCCGCATCCAGGAGAAGCGCGACAGCAGGGTGGATCCTTCCGCTTCCGCCCCACCCAGCAGGGTGACAGGATCAGCGGCGTGAATCCTGGATCGCCTCATGTCCAAGAGAAGCTCCTCCGCACGTCCAGACCACTCGTGGCCTTTCAGGCTGCTGACGACACGCAGTGTCGTAGCCACGCTCACGCCGTCCGGCCGCAAACTCCGCAGATGTCCATCACGTAACAGCTGCAAAGCTTGCTTCCAATGTCTTGTGCGACGACATGCAGCAATAGCCGTGTTGTAACAGACAACATTGGGAAGCACGTCTTGCCAGCCCCACCGTGCCATCTTTCCTGAAAGAATTTCGACTGCTGCCCGCCACTGACCAGAGCGTTCACATGCGGTGATGACGGTCCCCAGTGTCGCCACAGATGGCTGAACTTGGAGCTTCCTTAAGGGTAGGACCATGGAAAGTGCTTGCTCCCACGCGTGAGCAGCTGCACATGCTCGCAGTGTAATGTTCATCGCGATGGTTGCGTCGTCGCCATTGAGGAATGATGGAACTGAGTGCCTGAGCGCCTGCAGAATGTACAGCATCTTACTCCAACTTCCGTGAGCGGCCGTGAAAAGGTAGTTGCACCGAATCCGTACGTTAACGTCCATGATCACTCCAGACCCGAGCAAGCATGCACCCAGCACGGCGCTTGCACTTGGACTGGCTTCGGGCACAGCGAGTTTCGGCTGTAGAGCGATGAAGGTTGCAAGCGCCACCTGCCATGAAGCCCTCGTTGCACACTGAAGGCAAAGAAGTTGGTAGGTCTCTGCAGAGACTTTGAGGCCCAACTCACGCACTTCCTGGACGAGGAGGCTTGCAATCTGCCACTGGCCGTTCTTCAGTGCGGACTCCAATCGTCTCTCGTAGCCTTAGCTTGATGCATGACTGCTGCAAGCCTCGGCAACACATAAGTTGCGCACCTAATTCTGACTGGTAGCTCTGAAGCCCGGGACTCTGCCCCTGCCGCCAGAGCCCAGCAACCGTTCCATGTCGAGCCAAGGCCAGCCCCCGAAGCCCAAAAAGGGGCCCAAGGGGGCTTTGCATTGTGGGTGGCGAGTGGCCATTTTGTAGGGTCGACGAACTACGCTTCGATGTCGCGACCGCTGGGGATTCTACCAGTCTGTACTGTAGGTTCACGAGCCTTCAAAGCTGCACCCATGCAGACAGAACATACAAAAACAAACAGCTAACATGCCGCTGCAAACAGTATGGCTCTGAGGCGAAGAACTTTGGCATTCAAGCTCGTACGGCGTGTGTCCTGCCGGCCAATTGCGGCGAACACGTGCCACAGATGGGAACCGACTGTCGTGGATGGGCTCCTGCTCGCTGCTACTCTTGACGGCATCCTGACAAAGTTAGATGGGACGAGTACAAGTTGTACGAGTACCACCAACCAATCACATACCATCTTCGTCATCACAGTCAAATTGCTCAGAACGGACCACAGCCCCTAGCCTGTCCCACTTGCGCATCGCGACCGGTCTCCTCCAAAGCTGTGCAGACCGACAGGGGACCCAAGGCTTGAGAGCCGCGGGCCGCGCCTGCGTCATTTCCACGACTCTGTCTTGCAGCTCCCCCTGTATGAGCTTCAAGTCCTCCTCGGCCTGCCGGGCCCAAGAAAACGCGCGCTCAAACTTCTGCCAGACAGCATCGCCGCATCGCCTTCCAAGCGTCCTCTTCACGCAAGACCTCGGAAGCCTCCAGCTCCGACAGCCTTGGAAGGAGAGCAGTGTGCACTCTGTTCCTCTGATGACACGTGCCAGTGCCCGGCCTCCCTGCAAATCCCTCCAAAACGTTGTACAAGCCCTGGCCAGATCTCTCTCAAAGAGTTGCGAGACCATTCCTCTCCGGGCCTCGTAGTCAACCAGACCAGGACGCTCAGCGCCACGCAGCCGAAGAGCCTCGACGTGTGAGCTTGCAGCTCCAATGTTGCGCAGATTCTGTGCCCCCGCTGCCCATGTGCAGCGAGCAGCAAATTCTCCGGAGGTCATGGCCGCACGCATGTCCTTCAATCAGCGCATGCATCTCGGAGTGTCCATCTTGTCTACTGGCCTGGCCTTGACGAAGACCATGTCTTTGAGCTTGGCAATGTTTTTGGAGGCCGCTTCCGTCTGTGTCTCCTCAGATAATCGGGACTCTCTGAACTGGTGCACTCCTTTTGAAGATTGATGCAGTCATTCCTCCGAGGTTCAGCGGTGGGGCTGAACGACTCCATGACCCTCCCAAGCTCGGCTCTCTACCCGAAGATTGTCTTGACCTGAAGCCTTCAACACGTGTTCGTTTGACTCGATCGACCCAGTTCCTCCGCCTATAAGCAAGGAGTCAGCCGGCATTCCAACAAAAGCAGAGCAGAACACGGAGATAGTAAAGGAAAGCGGCGTGGCTTGTGGTCTCACTTGGGCAATCAGAGACAGAAGCGGGCCTTGGTCGGGCAGCGAGGGGACATCCTGCATGATAGGCTTCGAGCTTAGGGCATGACCTGAAGGCGACTTGCTCCCTGGACAGCTTAATGACCCAAGGAGACGGACCTCAAAAGGCCGAGACAAGGCTTGCGATCGCTCCAACGCATCTCTTGCCAAGGCCGAGGCGGCTTGCCAGACGCGACTTCAGACTGTTGGCCTCAATTGAACTACAGACGAAAGGCTGACTGCAACTGAATGCACAACACCAGCTTGAAATGGGAAAGTGCCTCGTCATGTCGTCTTCTTCCTTGCAGCCTGGGTCTGGTAGGCCCACGAAACCCTCTTCGTGCGGCTTCAGCAACGGTCGCAGTAATGCGGACACACTGCCTTCTACATGCCACGGGGAATCCAAGAGCGAGCATGCACGCGGCCTTGGCAGTTGGCGTCTATGGCATTCTTCATCCACTCACATGCAAATCGGCTGCAAGGACCCGCACGGATGGAGCAGATTGAGAATATCTTCGACCCATTCGGTGCACTCTTTCACCGGGGAATTCCAAACGAAGACCATCTCGAGCAATGCAGGGTGGTGCTGCTTCGTGCGGAAGGACCTTTCAACCCTTCAGAGTCATTGACTGTTTCCACAAAATTCTGACCTGCGAAGAGGCCGAGTCTGATACAGAAGGGAGCATGCTGTTGAGAGCCCTCACCTGGCATCGAATCAACTAGCCGCGATACATCGCAAGGAAACACACAGACATACCGGTAAGAGTGCTGGAAGGAAAGAAACTCTGGGCAACAAAGCCGCACCTGGGCATGAAAGTCATCTCCATCTGCATGGTGCTGCTCAGCTCTTCTCAATTCGATTTGAGCTCAGCGGACACACTTTTGCTGATTCATTGTGTTCGAGTGCGCATGTCTGCAGTAGTCCACATGTCGAGGCGGTGGCTGAGGTAGAGTCTAGGAACAGTTACACACACACACACTGCGAAGTGTGCTCTTCTAAGCGGCGGCTTTTGAGCCGACCAGCTTCATCTGCCAGGATTGCACCCTTGCTGCCGAGATTGTAGCAGCTCCTTCAAGCTGGTTGACACCGTTCGTCGCGCGACGGTGACGGCACCGGCGACGGCCGTCATCTAATTCTGGAACGTCGGGTTTTACCAATACCTTCTGCAAGTCTTCATCCCTTCTCCTCTTCCTCCCCATCCTCTTTCTTCAGCAAAGCATGCTGAAACTAAGGTGTGTGACTCAGACGTCTACGACGCAACTCACGATTGGCCTCTCTTGACCTCTATCCAAGAAACATCCACAGGAGCAGAAAGCACGCGTCAGAAGCAACTGTCCTGATGATAGTCAAAATGCTACTCAGCTACTTCTTGATTAGCCCGTAGCCACCATGGCCACAAAACACTTTACACGGCTGGTTCCAAGACGAAAGTCGATCAAAGTGCCACACACACGCCTTCTGCAACATGACGGCAGTTTTCAACTGCCGCTGGTCGTGTCAATGCACACACTCAGAGAGTTGAAACGGGGGCTTTAAGCGCATCTCGTAGCCAAGAGAGATCTATCCTGGCAAGATCGTGAAGTCCCACCCGTGTAGACAGCAGCACACGCACACGCACCCCGGACTCACCGGACCCGCCTTGAGTCCTGCGGAGCCTGTCACGTACAGAAACACACCGTGACATATATAGACACTCAGAGATGGAAAAATTAGCGTCGATGCATCCCTTAAGGGCCTCGGGTTGAGCCGGAGCTGGAGCGGTCGGAGCGGCCGCCGGAGCGGCCGCCGGAGCGGCTGCGCTTAGGACGCTGGGGTCCAGCGAGGCCCGGCCCTCGGAGACCACCTCCTTCGACGGGAGAAAGCAGTGCTGGGCAGGGCCGCGAGGTCCCGAGAAAGAGCTCCCAAAGCTCCATTGGCGGGCCTGCCTTGCCCTGGTTGCTCAGCGAAGCTTCGAGTTCTGCTCTTGCCTCGGAACACGCAGTACACCTCTCGAGGCAGGAAAACGTAAGCAAGGCAGCACTGTTTAATCCTGCGCAACAACCCTTGGCGTACGCCTGGGCATGCGAAACCGCAGTGTGCAAAACGAGCATCCTCTCAGGTTGCAGCAGTAGCATTGCCGTGCACCATGTTCGCAGCACAATCTGCAGTCATGGGGAATGGCTGGTTCTTACGTCCTGATACGGCTGATACCTCCTGTTCTGGCCGCTCTGAGGTGTGCTCCCAAGTCTGTACAGCTGATCTTACACGCAGGTTGCGGGCAAGCAGGGGTTGGCTTGCATCGCCATTTGCACCTGCAGGACTCCCGAAGACAGGACTGCTCAAGCCGGAGATGGAGGCCTGCTCTAGGACTCTAAGTCTGCCGCTTGGGCGTCGAGCACGATGTCTGGCAGCTATCCGCACAGGATGTCGTGCAAACAGGTGGGTTGCACCTCGAGCGGCTGGGAACAATCAGAGATCCCGTCCTCCCCCAGACATTCGTGAGGCACCCACACTGTTTGGCATGCAACAGCTCTGCTGCAGTCAGAGCCTTTGCACTCTGTCTGTGGACATACCACTGCACCTGGCCGCCCGTTTCGGATCATGCACGAACATAAAGTTACTGTCGAGAGGACATTCGAGCTCATGCAAGGCTGCAACGGGGCACACAAAGGCTCGCCACAGCGAGTTTCGCACTGCGTCCGTGAGGAGCCTTAAGCAGCGCATGCAACATGGAAGCTTACAAAAGCATGGAAATCGGCAGCTTGTAAGATTATACCGAAAACTTTTAACACTCTCAAGAACAGCAACACAGTACGCCCGCACGCCCCTGTCGCCATACACACACAGACTTCCCTTTGCAATCCTGTCCTAGACACACGGCCTAAAGATTGCATTGCTAATGTTCGAAACTAGGAATGTGTCTTTCATCCAGCTAGACCAGACGTGCTAAAAGCATTCCGGACTCCTGACGTACTGAGAATCGCGCTGCAAGTTGTCACACACTCAGGTGGTTCGCAGAGGGGCTCACATTCATGGGTTGCAGGACCTTCACGCAATTGCCACACGAACCCCAGCAGAAACCTTCTCCGACCGAGTAAGGGACAGTTCGTTTGCTCGCAATCATACTGGCATTTCGGACCACACTTCCTTGGTGCACGGAGCTATGGAGCCAAGGCGATGAACCCGACGATAGTACGAGGCTGCTGCTGCTGCTGCGGCTTTTCCTGGCGCACGGCCCTAACCCAACCCTTCAGCAAATGTGCTCGCTTGCTGCCCAGCCTTCTCGACGGGAATGTCCTGCCAAGGGGCCTGAACCAGGGCTTTCAGCACAGGCGGCGAGTACAAACCGAAACGAGGAAAGAGTCATACAGTAGCGAGCAAGCTCATCCGCACGTGACATGGCAACCATCATGAAAAGTGAAGTGCAAAACAAGCTGCCCTCGACAGATGCGAGCTGCTAGCGCAGTTATTCTGCACTAAGAAATAAAGACACTGCATCTCTTGAGCGTTTGCTTACCAGCCGCCGGAAGCTGACTTGCTTGTGGAATGAAGAAGTGCACAGAGCACGGATCGTTCTGGATTTCAGATCTCAGACGACATCATGCACAAAGAGCAGACGAAGAAAGAGCACACAAGCTTCCTGCTCATACGTCTATCTGCCTGCTTCACAGCGATGCTGCCAGAGTAAGAGCTTCGCGCTCGAAGACGTGCAACTGGAGCAAAGGTATGAGCTCAAACAGTGCTGAAACCGATCAATCGGCAGCAGATCTTCACCGCAAGGAACCTTCGCCTGATGTGCAAGCTATAAAGCCCACAAGTAGTATGGCCAGCATCGGCCTGAAGAGCAATGTCAATCAGCGCTTGCTAAACAGTTTCCGCTCGCCGAACCTTCAAGCTTCGTTGATCCACACCCAGCACCTGTGCCGAGCGGACATTGCTTCAACATTGCTCTGAAGACGGGTACAACCAGCTGGCCTGGAAATCGGCATAGCGCCGATGAGGTGCGAACAGCTCAAGATGCGGTCCCATGAGCCACACACACATCAGGTGAGCCCTTCACAAAGCTTGCAACTCAGGTCAATTGCCCTCACCCCATCGCTTCAAAGTCACACAGCGCCTTTTCCTTCCGAGGAAGCTGTTCTTCAGCTCACTCGATTATGAGATGAGGCTCAGCATCTGAGGCGCAGTATGCTTCAGGGCCTAGGAGCTGCTGTGAGCGGGACCGGACACCTCCAAGCATCAGCTGGGCAAAAATGCGAGCACGTGTGACCCTAGCGGCTGTGGCCTTCGATGCTGCTGCGTAGCCAGTTGTGGAGTCGGCCAGCAAGATCCAGCCTTTGCTTACACAAGTGGCCGACACGAAAGCCTGTGAAGCTCGGATGCCTGGTGGTTTCGTGAGGCGACCCCATACTTTCCCTCGTCCACCACGTATGGCCTGCAAGCAGAACTACATTGTCAAGCCTTCTCTTGCTTTGAACAGCTTAACAAACCACAAAAGGTGTCTGACGACTGCATAGCGCCGTTCGGACATGTACCACAATGCTGAATGCGTACATGGGTTGTATGTCACCACGTGAGTGCTACTAGTGACAAGGGTCGTAAGTGACACAACCATGCGAAGATCGAACAATCATCTATTCATTTTCAATCATACGCAGATCGCCAAGCTTGGCCTGAACGACATGGACATTCTTGCCAGCGTGGAGCGTCTGCAACACTTGCGAGGTTGCCGTTGCAGCAACGTGCACGTCCTGGCAGATACTCCGACGTTAACAAATGTCCATGCAACACTCGACATGCCGGAGACGCCACATGGTGGACGCAAATGCGGCATTCTCCTAGCCAGTCCTGGCAAGTCTGCAGAAAAATCTTTTCTGGGCGTTCGGACATACTCCAACCTGGCTAGTTCGTCCGCTCTGACTTTTGTCAGGTGCCTCGCTGTGTAGCCAACAAGTCGCACATCTTGCGGAGGAAACGCTACCGTCTGAGCTGTTCCACACTCAAGCTGAAAAACTTCTTGATTTGCACCTGCCAGCAACAGCCCACAAGGAGAGGTCACTCCAGGACTCGCCAGGCCTCAGAATGTATTGGCTTCGTTGCCACCTGCTGCAGCCGCCTGGTCAGGGTTCCCCAAGATTTTGCAAGCAGCTGCAAGCTTCTGCAAGCTTGTCAAACTTCGGCTGCAAACATGGCCCACTCAAGGCTCCCGCCTCAGCATTTGTGAAACGGGTGTTCTGATCGTCGATTCCGTCTTCGCAGAAGCATCCGTCAGGTTTCGCCTTGACGCGGTAGTCGCTGACACATCCATACTTCTGCGTAAAAGGTTGGGATTCCCGACTGTGCTCTTAGGCTTGGAGAATGAGCGCCTGCGCCTGCGGACAGAAACCGATGCAGTACATCCAGCGCCGTGCAAGAGCAGAGATAGAGGTAACAATCCTTGCATATCCTTGCAGCTGAGCCTGCTTCGTCCTTCTCGGCCAACCTGGAAGCATTTCAGTGGCCCGTCACTGAGCCTCATCGGCTAGCAGCTTCAGAGAGCCCTGCTCATCCTCATCCGAGTCGGAGCCCTTGACATGCGTCAATTTTGTTCCCGAGTCTGCACTTGACAAACCATCACCGAACTCGGGCTGCTGCAAGTACGATGCTGCCTGCCACGACCACACTGTGAACTGTTGCGTCTTTCGCCCCACTCTGAGCTGATGAGATCTGGTAAGCATGTCCAACAGCACATCCAAGCAAGCCCAACAGCCGATTCTGCAACTAGGTCCTAGGTTCAATCAAGTGAAAAGCCCCTTCACACCGAGACACTTGGAACTGGGTTGCCTTCCCTACATAACATTCACCCTCGTGGGCAGGCCCCCGTTCCCTGCAGTGTCAGCCCTTGGTGGAGCTTGTTGGCCGGGGTGGTGGGACTTGGCAAAGGCCCGCACGATGCTTCTGCAAGAAAACAAGCTTTCCGAAGCTTTCGACTGCGTCGCAAGTCACAGAAAAAGGTACGACTGCACTCCTACGGTAGGAGCCGGGGGGTCAAAAGGCGAAGGTGAGGCACGAATTGCAAGTCGAGTTCTCGAGGGTTCGTGCTCACCAGAAACACCATACACTGCATGCGCGCATGAAACGGCAGCTTTGGGAAGAGGAAGCTTGGCTAGCAGTGCATGTGAAAGCCTGGCCTGTTACACGCAAACGCAAACGCTGCTGTCAGCACCCGAGCTCGGAAATCCGTTGCAGCAGCTGCATGCCTCGTTGCTACCACCGCCCAACCTTCCTCGCAGCAATGAACACACATACTACCCGACTACCCCTTCCGAGATATCGTGGCAGGGAAGCCACAGATCTTTCGAAGCGACAAGCCTCTCATAGCCTCTTAGCCCTTCCACCACCGAGATCAGGGATGTTCATGACATTGGGGTCTGGATTGAGTCTGCGTGAGCCGTTGTGCCAAAAAACAGATCGAGACAGGGCCGTCTGCCTGTGCTTCGGCGTCTGCCGCGTCGGTTTCGCTTCCGTCGCTGGCGCTGAACACGCCTGGCTACTCTTTCAAACCACTCGCAGGGATGTCGTAAAGATCGCCGGTGCCTGCGGAGGAGATCGATGACGATGTACACGACAGCCAAGCCTTGCGCGCAAACCACTCTGCTGCACTCAATGATGGTGACACGATTCTCTCGGGTTAAATTCAAACGTCTTCTGGCTGGCTTCTGTGTGGATGCTGCAGTTTCAACTTGCGAAGTCCCTTCCCCGGAAATGTCTTGCTGAAACGCATGGCTGTGAGATGATGCAGGAACATGCAGGATTTTTCAGAATGCAGCAGCTGCGGTCTGCAATCCTATCTCCAGGCCTATGAGAACAACGTGGCCGATGGCCTCGGACTGGAACAGCATGTCCAGAACTGAGACTCACCGACCGTGTTACACTGTTACACTCTGAGCCAGGAGCAAAAAGATTGAGAATGTTCATCTCGCTTAATGCAGTGGAGTCCTCGGCTGGGAATTCTCTCGGTTCCCGCGCTTCCAGAAGTAGTTGAAGCAAAGGAGCCGCAGTCGAATTGCCGGTGCTTTGTCCGACTCCTGCCTCGGCCAGTACTCTGCTCCGCTAAAGGCTGCAGAATGCTTCGAAGCTTCTGTGGGGCCAGCAATCAACTCCGCGGAGAGCTGGTCGTCGCTGGCCAGCAGGAAGCCGAAGTAGCAGTTGCTTCCCTCCGATGCAGTGGACGCAAATCCTTTCTGGCAGATTTGGAGATGCTTGAGAACCGCTCTGTAATGATGACCATCAGCACCACCTCGACTGTAAGTCAGAGACTGGCTCGAAGCCACCATGTCAGCAGCTCAATCAGCTTCGTGTTTGCGTTCCGAGTGGTGCACGGCTGGCATTAGCAATGGCCCAAACCTCGGAGGGACGCCATGCCGACTGATGCCAGAGAAGCTACTTTGGGGAATGTAGAGAGAAGGCGCATAGCTCTGTTCTTGCCATCTGTCTCTGTTCTTTTGGCGAGTTCCTGGAATTCATGTAGGATACCGAAAACTGTCATGAAACTGAGTGTGGCGTTTCGCGAGATAGAACTGTTGTAAATGTTGTCAGGGGCGCATGCAACCTCTCATACCTGTGTACTCACATGCCTCCCTCTTTCCTGCTAGACAAAGACGACGACCCGACGCCGGCGTGGGATTCGACGCTCTCGCAGGCTGATGCAGGCTGGTCACCTAACTTGCCTGAGATTGCCTAAGTCCCATGTTCCCGAAAACAACATTGGCCCGCACTCTTGTTGCATCTGCCGCGGCGCATCCTGAAGGGAGGGGGAAAGGGGGAGAAGTCACCTAAGTCACCTGTCTCCAATGTTCAGAACACGATCAGTCCTGAAGCTTCAAATTGAAAAGCGAGGTCTCCAGCGTCTCCACCAGTCCTTGTGGGAGGCGGCTGTGGCTTGATCCTAGCTACTATAGACATGACAGAAAAGACATGAGAATTTCGGACTGGCGTCCGGCGAAGTAGTCGAAGCTGGATGTGAAGTAGTCGAAAATAGCTTCACTTTGATCCGCAATTGATGCACCCAGGCCATCTATGAGGTTGCTGGTGACCTGACAAGAACGAGGCTTGTCTGAGGCATACGATGGCGGCTGCGACATGTTGCATCGGACCTCGGCGTGGGCACTCAGGTTTCGACGTTGAGCCTCCGAGTTTTCTGCGTCGCAGAAGTCTTCACACCACTATACCAAGCTGCCCTTGCCTGCACTGCCTCCATGTAATGGTTGACCTGTCCATCACTGCAGCATGCCATGGGCACTATGTGCTGCACCATTGCCTGTGCCTTGGACATCTTTGACTCAATTCCTTTGATCGAGGCTGTGGTGGCCTCAAACTGCGTGAGCACCTGCCGCAGAAGGGAAGCTTGCAGCCAGGTGCGCACCGTCTCCGAGCTAAAACACCGACATCTGCTGAATGTCCAGCCTCGTCAACCTGAGCAGAGCTTAATGCAAGTACCGGAGGGTGTCTGAAGTGGAAACGATGTTGGATTTGCCCACTGCCTGCTCTCTGTCCATGGAGTGGCCTCAAGCACTATCTGAAGGGACAGGCATGGTGACTAAGTCTTTGCAATCTCTCCTGTCTCATCAAAGGCTGCGACTGACCCCCATTGTTCTGCACTCCAAGACTGGCAGCGTAGCCGCCACATGTGGTCCAGTGCTCGAAGTTGATTCGGGATTTGCTCGCGCGGATGCAGAAAGAAAAAATTGAAGCTGTTGTGTGCCGCCTTCACTGTCTCAAGTATCGGAAGCGTTCCTGTCGAAGCTGACTTTACGTTCCAAACACGGCCTTGAGAGATATGATCAAAAGACGCCGGATTTGCGCTGAAAGCCGATGCCATTATGTCAAGGGCTGTGTCAGTGGGAAGAACACTGACTGTGGACATGTGCAGCACAAGACCGCACCAACTTGCTTCATGCCCATGCGCACTTCTTTTGGCAGGTGCTCTAGGCACGGTTGTGATTGGCTTCTGCTTCTGCAGAGGACATTTACTTAAACAACTGGCTGGTTGCACGAATTTCTCAACTGCTAACGTTACCATGAATATGAAAAGAAGAATATTTGTGATTTCAGTGACTTCCATCCGGAACAGCAGTTGAATGTAGTGAATTGTGTGTGGGCCAAGGACGTCCGCGTGCCCACATGCACAGACTACTTTACAAGCCCAGCGAACTGGAAAGCACACCCTCCGAGAAATACCTGCCTGCACTCAGGGATGCGAGCTCAAGCACCACCTGACCAGAACATGTCGGATGGAACTGCGACTGCCACTCTCCGAGCAGCTTACAATCCCGAGCTGGCAGCCTGCTGCGTGCACGATTGGGGAGGCCTGCGATGGGACGGGCAACAGCACTGACATCAGCGATGTGAAGTATGACGAGACCTTCTCCAGCAGCTTGCTTTGAGACGGCAACCTCACAACAAGGTCAAGCCAGCAAACTACACAGGGCAAGCTCGCACCATTATACACCCCACCATGCCAACCTGTCATCGCGTTCGCCCCGGTCCAGTCCCCGCCCCTTGTCTCCCCTCCCCGTCAATCGGAGCTACTGCCATACTCGACCCCGGTCGCTCCTCCTTCACCCAGATTCCGTTTTCGTCGCTTCCATTTCTCCGTTGTCCTTTCCTATCCCTTCTCCTGACCGTTGTCCTCTTTTCCTCTCTGGCCAAACGCCGACACATCATTGCGCCCAAGTGTCTTAGCCAGCCCAGCACTACACGGAAGGCCACAAACACTTGCCACGCTGCTTTGGTGTGTCGGATAAGCGCAGCACATGCAGAACTGCTCACAGTACCGGGCAGGACTCTCCTCACAAGGAAAGCGCTGAAACTCCTTTAGCTAGTTTCGTTAATTCCGGGCACCTCTAAGTCTATAGCGAAAGCAGTTATAGAAACCACGCGTCACTGCATGTATGTATTGGGGCAGGAAACAGATTGAACGGAAATTCGCAGAAGGCCATGGAAACCTTGAATCTTTAATCGTTGGAAGTTACAGCCCCCTCAGCCTATGATGCTCCACCTCAACCTATCCGACTCCATGTAATCCAGAAACCCGACATCAGACAGAAAACCTAAGCAAGGACACTTTCTGCACGCGGGCTCTAGGTAAGGAAGAGACGCGCTTCCAGGAGATCGTGAGCAGCATGTGCACAGTCTACGAGCGGAGCACACCCGAACGGCTCATCGCCAACACAATCTCCCTGCAGATGCTCCAGATCGGCGAGAATGCAGCGCTGCCTCATGTTGCATAATGACATCAAGGCGAAGCTTTCCCACCAAGGCCTACATCTCCGTGTGGTTTTTGCCTACACTTCATGCTGCAAATGCTGCCAAGCTGCAGTTCAGCAGCTTGTAGAGGTCCGACCAGGTTCAAGCGAACCGCAGCCGAAACCGCATCTCGAACACTGCAGTAAAGGAAACCCTGCACGCTTACTTCTTGTGGTAGGTCCAGCCTGACAATTCGGCACAGACAGACTTCAATCGCATCGTCGTTCGTTCATATGGAACTGGATTAGGTTTACGTGGAACTGAATTCGGTTTTCCGAGCTAGTTAAGCGGCTTCTCAGCACTTTAGAGCCCACTGTTGGTCTGGAGCGGCCTTGCACAAAGAATACCAAAAAAGCTCACAAAGTGACCGTTCCTTGGCAGCCCTGACAAATCGCACCAGCGGCGACCGATGCGACTCAAACCGGCACCTTGCAGCAGTGAGGCCCGACAGGCCAAGCCGCCTGCAAGATGAGCATGCAAATCTGCGTCGAGCTCGCTCCAGTCCACGGGAACACCATCTGCTTTCGCACCCAGCCTGTGGGCACTTCTGAGAAACGGGCCTTGCAGTCGAATGGTTGAGAGCGCGAGCATCTTGATGAAAAGCTTCAGGCCTTCGATGTCACCTTCCTGCCGGCTGAGCAGACCCAGCTGCAGGGCCGCTTCGATACCGCCAGAATGAGCAAAGCCACCAACTGGAAGGGTGGCGTCAGTCAGGTGACACAAGGTAAACTGCTGCCGCAGGTTCAGCTCATGACTGAACGCTGGCTTGGGCTGTCCTGGCTTTGCAGATGATGTCGGTCCGGCTTTTGTCTGAACGATCTGGAACACTCCAGCACCATGTACTCGATCGGCATAGGGCTCAGCACCCAGCAAACTCGCAAGGGGTTCCAGGCAAACGTGTAGAAGCCGGTACACGTCTTCAGTGTGTTCAGCCATAAGTCGTATCACCGTACATCCTGAATTCTCATCGGTCGTTACTCCCATGAGCGCTTGACCTTTCATCTGCGGAAGCGAGATAATATCGCTAGGCTGGTCTCCCAACCCATTTGCCTCTTCAGACCTCACCCGTGCACCTGCCCGAGCAGCGAGGAGCAACGCGACTGCTTTGGTTCTGCGTACCACTCTTCGGGCTTGCGGTCCGCATGCAAAAATCGTGACAAAAGCATCAAACGACTGAAGCGGATGTTCCAAGAAATTGCAGTCATCTCTTCGAAGACGCACTGCCTCTACCAGGCGAGATCGTTTGACCTTTCCTCCTGCCGTGCCATTCTCGGTGTCACAAAACCCCTCGCCCCAAACAAACTCGAAGCGAGAAGCATACTCGTCGAAAGCCCACCTCTCTCCCGAAGCTATTCTGCCTGCGCCAAGCCAGTCCACGATGACGGCAGATGCCCCGTCATCAGCGCTGGCATCTGTGCCGGGTGCCAATGTGAAGCGCATCTGCTGAGAGTACTGCCTCCAGCTGCAGGTGCTACTGTCGACCAATTGCTGGGAAATCCGTTCGATGAGGTTTTTGATAGAAGGGTTGACTGTTCTCCTATCATCGCAAACCAAGCACACTGGGAAAGAGGGTCTCGAGCGGGTCGTCTCGAGGAAGAACTAAACTCCCGTCAAACGATGTGGCGAGTCAAGGACGAGCTATGGCACCTCTGGGTGAGAACGAGTTGCCAGATGTGTGCGTGCAGAGTTGCAGAGGCGGTAAAGCAAAGTCACCGAGATAGAGTAAGTCACCTAAACAGCTGAATGAGGCTCTGAAGCAAGCGTTCAATCTGTGACGTCTAGCACTGCGCTGCGAGCTTCCGGACAGGCACACCGGAGGGCGAGAGCAACCGCGCAATGAACGCAGTGATTTGAGTGATGTGGCCAGTGATTTGAGTGCGCGGGCGAATGAGCGAGCAAGAGATAGAGTACAGTGGGTGATCGAGTGAGAACGTAAGTGGGTGTGGCATTGGAAGATGCGCACTCGTGAGCCAAAGTCGTCAGTGAGCAAGTGAGCGAGAGGAGTGAGGAGCGCCAAAGACAGGACCTGGTAACAATGAGAGTCAGAAAGTGCCTGAATGAGGGTGTTCATAGAACGCAATCAACGTTCAGCAAAGAAATTCATTTGCGTGTATGCGTGCGCCTGCGTGCGAGTGAAAGACCGTTAGAGTTGCACCAGCGAGAGCGGAGCTGGGTGTATAAAGCTATGGAGTGAGCGTGTTCTGATCTCCGGACCCCTGCCACTGCGGCGAAAAACAACTTGTTTTTTCGGTACACTATCTGTCGTCATCGTTGGATGATCGGTGGACATGGCTGCCTCCAGTACATGGCCAAACACTCTTCTCCTCCACGATCAAAGGCGCTGCTATCACAAGTGCTGCCCAAGCCGTGCAAAAGAAAGCGAACCCTTGTAAAGATCTCAGCGCGAAACATTCGATAGCCATAAGCCCTCGGCCCTAAGCAGGGAACCCTGTCAGCTGTTAGCCAAGCTTCGAGCTAGCAAACGGGACCAAGGGATCAGGAGCGAGGACGAGAAGCCCACCTTGCTTGATCCTGACCGCAAAGCGCTGAATTGCTGGAAGATCCTGGTTTGTCCGGTAGATCTTCGTGGAAGCCTGTGGACAAACACAAAGTGCATCCAGACCTACCAAAACACCATCCTATGATTTCGTGACTTGTGGATCCTGAGTCACGAGGGTAAGCGTGGCATACGGATCCACTTCCACAGCCATATCTACCTCATCTCCACCAAGGAGGCCCCCACCGAAGCTGCCGATGGCACACCATGCTGAACCGCTGCGCCTCTTGTCTGCAGTACGGTGACAAGAACCAGGTCTCGTTAATGTGAACGCCGAAGCCATTGTCACCCCAAGCTCAAAGTCCACAATGCTTACTCTGTGCCAAGAAGCTCAACCGCGGAATTCACCATCGGGAGTAAACGCACCGGTGAGGCATGATTGAGGCGCATGATTGAAGACCTGTTGGCGATCACGGAGGCGACAATCTGTGCACCACCCTTCTGTGGACGCCGAGTCGTCGAAAGCAGCCGACGTGAGCTGCATGAGTACCGCCAGGGTCTGAACTGCTGCGAGAGCATTCGATGATACAAAGACCTCAAGATGCGAAAGGAGATGGCCGGGCCGGGCTTGAGAAACAGCCGCAGGCATAAACACACATTCACCCCCTTCACATCTCTTCATTCTCTGAAACACTCTTCGGTTACGACAGCGACTCACAATGCCCGCTCCAGCAAGGCGGCTTCCACATCCTCGCAGAGTGCAGTCGACGCCTAGCAGGTGGCGGGACTCCTTGCACCTGCAAAAAGGCCACGTGGCAGCGAGCCTTCGCATAGCTGTCCAGCTCTCGCCTCCGCGGAGAATTCACTTCCGCAGACTCTTGGCATAGTGTCATGTGCCGACGAACAACCCAGCAGTCGCTGTAAACAATCGCTTAAGGCTTAGAGATCACCTGGCCGGATGACAATTTCACCCATCAGATTGCCGAATATCGCTACGAATCTCGAACCTCTTTGCTCTTACCTTGCTGAAACGGCAAAAGGAAAAACGGCTTCACGAGCTGAGCGCACGTTCCAAGGCTGGGGCATGATGAGTTGCCGATGCTCCTCCAAACGCTCTTCATCCCGGCGGATCTGCTCCTCGCGGTGGGCCATCAACTATTGGGCTTGGCAGCTGTCGACGGACGCGCGACGCTTGCGCCCACGCTCCGGGCCTCCAGCTGCGCGCGCTCATGCGCTCCCTGGGTTTGCACCGATGCCAGGGTCAACTTTAGCTTGTCCACCTATGGAAGAAGCAGAGATGAATAGCCCATCTAGCGAACTCGCAGACAACCTTATCTTGGCAAGCATGTGCCTCCGCAGCATCTCTCAGCGAAGGAGCTGCACTTCCGATGGAAATCTGACATCGTGATAACGAAGGTATTCAAACATCAATCAGGCACGCTTCGTGAAATTGCAGCGCCTCGTGCACAGCATCCTGTTCAGCTGCCAAGGAAACCGTGACATATGACACTGACGCAGCACTACTCTCATGCTGGCTGACCTCAGTTGCTTCGGTGGTCTTCTGGGCATCGTCTATCTGCGAAGCACTCCACTCACGATACTCCTTCCGCCGAGATCACGGACAGCAAGTCGTGTCAAACGGCATGCTCTCTTGTGAAGCTCCTGGTAAATGCGCGTAAGCTGCTCGTGCCGCGCCCTCATGTGACGAGCTTCGCCCTCCTTGACAAGGGAGGACCACGCTTTGTGTCACGTGGGACGAAGCACCACGCGGCGCAGAGTCGGCCGCGGAAGGCCGCAAGCAGTCGACGTCTCTTTTCGCTCCTTCTCGGCCAAGGAGGTCTGCAGCCCACGCTGTTCCTGGGCCAGAAACAGCCGAGAAGCGAGAGCTCGAGAGCTCCTCGTTTAAAGCGTGGCCTCCAGGAGCTCGTGCAGTGCCAACTCTGCTTGTTGAAGCCGCTCTCCATGGGAGGAAGACGCCGCCTGGAAGAAGCGCAGGGACTGCTTGGCACCCTTGCATGACAAAGAGTCATCTCTTAGCCTGCCGTGCCTGTGCCCAAGTTTTCTGATCGTCAAAAGCCAAGGATGCCAGAGCATCACTTGGCTCGGACAAGTCGACACCTGAGGAGCGCTTGAGCTCCAAGCGCTGTCATGCCTTTCTACAGCTGCACGAAGTCAGCGATGATCGACTATCGAAGTGCACGTACTCAGAACGGCACGAACTCGAAAGTCAAAGATATCAGCCTGGCTCTACACAGATCTTTCCCTCGAACAGCAGCCAAAATCAGCAAGAATGGCGAAGCATAAACAAGCCCCAAGCCTCCTCCTCGGTAAGGGCATGCGTCAGGCACTCGACCGTATCATTGACCTGCGAGGCTGAAGCGACAGCCTGACAGCCCGTCCCTATAGGACGGTCCAGCTCGGCCTGTCGAACCAGGCGACCGATCTCTTCAGCTCGGCTCTTCCTTCGTCTCTGTAAGCAGAGCTGCGTTCAGATGCTGGATGTAATCTGGGCAAGCCGCTCTTGCATACCAAGCTCCCATACTTCTTCATCGGCCCGTTCACCCTCGGCCTGCAAAACTTCCAAATTCACATCCTAAAGACGCAGTTTTGTTGGATCGGCCTTCAAATCCTTGAATAGTTGTCGTAGGTGGGACCGCTCGGCATGCAAGCGCTCGATGTCTCTCCTTGAGTACGCCTCCGCAAAGCAGCGACAAGGGTGAGTCCGCAACCGCCGAGGATCGCAGGAGCCTGGCTCTCCACCTGCTCTGCCAAGTACGCCCGCTTGGCCTCGCGTCCACAAAAACCGCACTAAGATCCTCTCAAGGCGAACAGCCTTAGGTGCTCCAAGGCTCCAAGACGTTGAAACCAAGCTGACCAAACCTTTCTCGGGCCTGCAATGTCTCAATCTCCTTCTGCTGCTCGCGCTCCTCGGCCTTCGCGCTCCGCAAGTCTTAGCAGAGCTTTTCGAACGCTTTAGGATCGCACCTCCTTGCACATCATCTCGTCCTCGATGGTCTGCACCTTGTGCTCTTGCGCCTGCAAAAGCACAAATCTGGTGCCTGCATCATGCAATAACACCCCTCCCTTTTCTTCTTCTCCCCGACATGAAGGAAAGTGTCCGAGTGTCTCGAGCACTAGACTAGACAAGCCATCAGGTGGCAGGGGGGATGAAATATGCTCTATGACCATATGTCACTCTCATCTTTGTTTTCCCTCATTTCAAGCTGTCACGCTGATCCGTCTCTCCCTCTCTCTCAGAGTTCTTTGGCCTGGATGATGCTGCGCAAGCGATCGGCTTCCACTTCAAGCCTCGTCCAGGATGGGTTGGAGAGTGTACAGCTGTACCACGCCAGCTTTCGGATCGACGATTCAAGAATCCACTTGGGCTTCTGCTGAGCAGGCATCTTCTGGAGTTCCAGCAACCTGTCATGCTCTCCCTGGAAATCTTGCAACCTGAGCATCAGGGTAATAGATCCACGTGCCACTTCCTCACCGTCTCAACCTAGGCCACTGGCCGCTGCTGCATTTCCACCTGCTGGTTCTCTAGCCGTTGGATTTCTGCCTGCAGAGCTTCCAGGCGCTGCATGTAGATCATCCGCAGCCTGCACAAGCTGCGATCTGCCCTCTGAGACAAAAAGGTTGGAAACAACACGTCACCTCTCTTCGTCACCACTGTCGTCTTTCCCACTCAAGAAGTTCAAGTAGTTCTCATGTAAGGATCTAAGAACGTGATGATCTCCTGGCAAAGGCAACAACCACTCGCAAGCCTGATCGGCTTTCACAAGCCCGAATACAAACAAGGGAAGGTAGAGCGAAAGGCGCAACATAGATAAGAGACGGTCAGAGCAGAACTCTTCGGAAACATGAGCCCTAGATTGTGGTTTACAGTCATGTGCACGCATCGCAGCCGGGACCGAGCACAGAAGTACACTCTGCTCCTGAACTCATAAGACGTAAGAAATCTGGCAGGGTTACCCGCATCGCGGTCAGGATCACCCACATCCTCTTGCGCATGCAAGAACTCTTTTGCAGAAGTTGGCGAGCACAATGTGCAGGCAGCCGGCTGAAAGCCCAAGTTGGCAAGCTGCCAACGGCTCAATCAGCTCGTCGTTGATGCGAACCTGCTTCTTCGCACCAGCACACCAACCCAGGAGACTGAGCACCAGTTCGCCTTGGATCCTGCAGCCTTTAAGCACCTCGCCAGGACTGTAAGCCAGTCCAAGACAGCCAGCAGTTGCCTGAATAAATCAAGCCACGGGCGAACCAAGTGAGCAAAAATCTGTTGAGGCTAGGACGGCCAAGTATTCGGGCCGCTGATGGCCTCGACAGCAGACACGTCGGTCAAGCTAACCATACTGTCTCAGCAGTCAGCAGTCCTGAAGCTTGGATCGATTCACTTCCACTGGATACTTCAACCGCCGCATGATACTGGGCACCTCGGCATGTTCCAAAACCCAACTGTTAATGAGCTGTTGTCAGCCGCCCCCGCTTGCTGCACGCCCTGCGCTTTCAGTCACCCACTTCATCTTCCATCTTGCCTTCGACTTCCAACTGTGGGTCCTGGAACGAGAGAAAACAAAGGAAGAGCCTCCGCTCTCCAAGTCACCGCTGCATGCACACGGGGTCCAACTGGGCAATCAAGAAGCGGAAGACGTCGTAGAACTCTTTTGTGGAAGGATCCTGCGCGGAGCTAGCACTGCCTTTAAGTTTCAAGAGTGGCGTGCAGGCCTTGAGGAGCTTGTCGTGTGAGAACGTCTTGGAATATCCCCGAGCCTTGAGTGCAAAAATCGGACATTGTTGGACGCCAAAAGTCCGTCGACACTTGGCCCCTTGCAGAGAGGAGTTCCACCACGTTCTTGGCGCATTGCGCAGTGAAGCCTCTGTCTCCGACCGGTCTTGGGTCGCGAGAATGCCTTCACGGCAGGTGCGCACTTTCAAAACCTTCTCTCTCGGACTGCTCTTAACTCTTGGAACCCAGCCTTGAGCTCACGAGTGCACGGGCCCGCCCTGACATCATGTGGTCCACAAGTCTTTGCCAATCTGTGCGGGATTCGACATTGGCCTGTACCGCTCGGGAACAGTGCACGCCTTCCAGCAATACTCAAGGAAGAGATCAAGGCGACAGCTCTGGCTGAAGCATCGTGCCTGCGAGGTGAAGTATTGACCTCCTCACCCGAACCCACCTTGCAGATTCATCTGTCTTGAGGTGCCGCCCTGATTTTGGGGAACTCGGGCCCTGTACAGAAGAAGCACCAGGTGATTGTGCCCGGAGTCTGCTGACACGCGATGGCCTTGAAATGGCGGCCAAGAAAGCACAATAGCAGAGCAGAGAGCACCCCCAGCACCACATGTTGCATTCGGAACTCCTCGAGGCCCCGGCTCACCCAGCGATGGACGCCCAAACTTTTGCTTCGGGGTGCTCGCCATGACAAGAGAGGGCTGGGCCTTTGCCTTTCAGGTCTCGGCCGAGTGCGGCTAACCACGCTTGAGCAGGCGCCAACAGCAGCAGCCAGGACAAGTACCCAACCCCAACCCTAAAAGTGCACAATACCGTGCGGAGTTTAGCCGAGATTATTCATCATCATTTGGTTTGATGGCTGCTGGTTTGGGCTTCGGGATCTTCGGGGCTCCGGGCAGCAGCAGGGAAGTGAAGTGAGGGATTGGCAGCTTGGACAAAGCAACCCCCTACACTGCCGAACTTTTGCATTAACCTGTTCAACTTGTCGGCTGGTCAAGGAAGGTCCATAGCGCTGAACCAAAGTCTTGATCCACTCGTGCTCGGAGAGCAGATGAGAACCGAAGCCCTGTCCCAACCACCAGCTCCGCCAGCTCTTGTCAGGCCACACCTCCACTTTCACCAGCTTCTCTGCCACAGATGACACAAGCAACTGTGCGAAGTGTCGGTCTAGTTCCGGCTCAACCTCCCCACGAACTGTCTTCAGGAAGTCGTGCAACTGCACCTTCACAGCTGTCAACCTGCGTCCAAAATTTCCTGGCAGAGGCGGAAGCAATAAAGCAAACACAATTGCAATCAATACTGCAAGAAGAAAGCTCCAGGCTCGCAGGCGCGCCAACCACAGCATCGGCAGGAACATGAACAGAATTCTTGATGAAGGCACAGCCTGAGAAAAGTCTGGACAAGGTGCTTCAGGAGCCTTGCTGGCATCACAGCTTGCAATGTGAAGCGCGGATGACGACAGGGGCACGAGGGAATCTGTTCCACTGCCAATGAACACCAAAGTCTTGAAGCACTCAAGGAAGTTGCCAGATTCACAGAGACGATGTAACCGAGATCCACGGGCACGTCTGCCTTCCATGTGCATGACCTGTTCCAGCCAAAGCGGGCTCGAAGAACATGACCTCCAAAGGGCAACTCGCCACCAGTACCACCAGGATAATCCGGGCAAAAACAGGCCGAGATGAGGTGTACCCAAAGAGATAAACGTCAGTAATTTCTCATGATGGGATGTAAGCCACGCCAGGGCCGCTCTTGCGATTAGCCCACCAGTCCCCAAGCACCAGAAACTGAGTGAAAATGATTTTCCGATCTCTTTCTCAATTCCATCCACCTTGGCTGATACCTCTTGTGCCAATTGTAAAGCCACGAAATCAAGATCATCCTCCTTCAAAGCGGCTTGAACTCCATCAGGCATCTTTCTCATGTTGGGTACCCAAACCATATCTTCTGGCAACAACAGCCGCAACTGATCACACAAGTCCTCCAAGCCGGATGGAGGAATGTAGGTGTGGCCTGGAACTACAACTATCAAAATTCCATCTGCAGAGAAACTGCTGCCCGTGGAGACCGAAGTGGTCTCCAAAGAACCGATCTCTTCCACACGCAACGGCGTTGCATCAGACATGTGTGCCGCAAGCAAACGAAGCACACAGCTTCACTGCGCAGATACTTCACAGCAAACCATGGCCATGTATCTAAACTTTGACGGTATACGATCTGCATGGAAACTTGCAACAACTTCACACTGCGCGTTGCCAGCCTCTGCGACTTGAAACAGTTCAGCGCATGCTTGAGCTGTCGCAAACCAATCCTGTCGCAGTTGTTCTAACCATTGTAACGACCGTGTTTCCATGCATCTTTGCAACACCATGCAGCTTCGAACCACAAGATGATTTAAATGCCAATTTGATTTCCACTGATCATCGGAACCACCATGTTTGTTCATGGTCGTTCTCATGAAACCAACGAAAACCATGACGCTGACGATAGCAATGATGATGATGATGACGATGCTGACGATGAGGTCAGAGTGATACGCTGATGACGATGACGACGACGACGACGCCCTTGATGTGAAGCAACACGAAGCAAAAACAATGCAAATTTCTATGCTCGACGACGACAAAGCTTTCTCATGTGAGAACCAACGTGCACTTTTGCCAACCTGCTCGGCACAAAACGTGTCTTGGAATTCCAAAACATGGTTTGGTGCTTTACATCCCACTTCCAAACACAACCAATGCAAAGAGTCCAGATTCGGCAACAAGGCAGCACCAGAAAGTGCTGCAAATGTGTCGAAATGATCTTCGTCAGCATGGAGTCAAATGCAACTTTGACTCAAACGAAAGTGGTTTTGTTTCTGTTGTCGAAATGATTTTTTATTGCGCGGGTGCACACAGGTCCAAACCCAAACACTCTTCACCTTGTTCGCCTTGTTCCACCGTTTCGCCTGCAACGTCTTTTTCCACATGGTGGAGTGGCCGGACATGTCTTTTGGAGACCTCTCCAAGCTGTTTTTTTTGGCTTGCACAGCTGACTCTTATCATTTTAAAAGTTGAGCAAAGCGGCACAGGCTTTGAATCCAAGAGGAACATTAACATGACTTTTTCGCTGTGCTTTGCCAAAAAGTAGAAGCTACATATCATAGCAACTCCCATCAAGACGCAGTCAAACAAACATACACAAAGACTGCAAGAAGAAATTACTTTAAGAGACGAAAAGCAAAGAAGCAAAAAAACCACAAAAAACATCTTCTGCACAAAATCCTCAACCAATAGAAACTCCCATCAAGACGCAGTCAAACAAACATACACAAAAACTACAAGAAGAAATTACTTTAAGACACGAAAAGCAAAAAAGCAAAAAAAAAAACACAAAAAACATCTTCTGCACAAAATCCTCAACAGAAGGTGACAAACAAAAAAATAAAATTACATTTACCAGTCGTTAGAATGCTGCTTTCAATGTGTGTCTCGCACACGTTCCGCCACCATCTCTTCGCGACAGTAGAAGAAACATGCATTGAATCCGACAAGTACCAACGTACCTCAACGTTGGCTGTCACACATGCTGCTTCCAATCTAAAAAGTTGGACAGTGCGGCTCAGCAAAACACGCCCAGACGTGCATGCTGGAACTTTGTCGATGCTACCGAAGTCTCTTTTCGAGACTTAACACAAGCTTGCCTCTGTTCCAGGTATCATTCGTGGAACCAGAGTTTTGGATGCTGACATTGGGTTTTGGTGACAGCGCTGCACTCAGTCCCGACAAGAAACAAGAAATTGGTTGGCTTGACTGGGCCTCGTCGACTACGGCTGTAGCACTCGGTCCCTACAAACAAGCGAAACTACAATCCAAGCATCAAACTACAACAAAGCGGTGAAACAGCAAAGCGAAGCTCTACAAAGGGCTGCGGCGCACAGGCTTTGCCGGTGTTAGCCGTTCAGCACAAACAACCGGTCAGGAGCAACAAAGAGCCGTCGCTCAGAGCTGCCCAAAACAACAGGTGGGGCCAAGTACAACCCCTGTGTTTTGTTCCATCACGATCGTACACACCAACAAAAGGCCCACTGCATGCGTGGGCGGCTTCCAGATAAGGAGTGCGAAGACCAGTGCCGCAGGCAAGCAACCCACTCATGCAACCGCCGTCATTGGACACACACCCCAAGGGGACAAAAACCCAATCGACCCTCGGCGTGCCAAGCGCCTAGACACCGCTCTGATGCGACACTGGCAACCTGCATGGGCCACCCTCACGGTCACACTGCCGGCGTCCTGCCAGTGACAAAGTTGCTCGACCACGACACGCTAGCGCATGGCCGCCGCCGCCAGCAGAATCAAATCAATGTACCTGCCGTGAGGAACACTGGGTCAGCCGCTAAGACGGCAGAGATCGCCAAGGCGGACATTGACGTGCAAATCACACGCTTCGACAGCATCGTCTTGCGGCGGCCATGGCAGCAATTGAAGACACCGTTCAGGTCGGACTAACACGAGGGACCGGTGAAGGGGCGAGCGACGCATGCCGCAGGCAGGCGGCGAAGCTAAGGGGCACACGGCACGCATGTGGCTGAGACGCGTGTGTGCAAACTGGCAGGAGCAGGACGTTGCGGTGCGTTACTGTCCGCAGTTCGGACTGGGGCGTCATCCAAGCCCCTGTAACCTGGCCACCGAGCCCGCTAGCAACCACAGGCAAGCCCACAGCCTGGCCATGCCTTTCCCGGCGCCACCAAGGACTGTGGCGAACCTGAACCAACTCCAAGCCATACCAAGGAAGTGAAGCAACAGAACCACTCACAGGTGCAGCCGTTGCTTGCTTGCTGAGCTGTTGGCGACCCACGGGACAATTTCTCCAAAACCCAGCCAACACAGTCGCGTTATTGCCACACGGCGATGGAAGGCTTCGCGATTCTCCTAGCTAGGCGTGGTGACTCGACCTCAAATTCTCAGACTCCGGCATGTGCAAGAGAACTTTTAGATCCTGCTAGACGATGTCTCCTTCGAACAAGCGCCGTCCACGCTTCCCCGCAACGGCTTCCACAGGGGAAAAGGCGATCACAGACTGACTCCACTTATGCCGTCACAACCAGGGCACCGATCCAAAATTCCAAAGCCCACTGGCAAGCGTGGCCGGCTGCCGCTCGAAGGAAAATAACGCTTTCTTAAAGCACTGGCAATTTCCCTCACATAGATTTCCGTCACCCTTTTAATGTGTATTAGTGAGTATCCGGTCGGGGGCATATGGCATTAGATCGGTGGAAATACATGTGAATTGGAGGCTAGGTCCAAGACTCTCTTTTCTCGGAACTTATCTGCCGCTGCCCTCCAGCTTTCCTGCGCCTAGAAATGCCCCAACCTGACCCAGGGACGCTTGCCACCTGGCAGCTTCTGCGCCTGATTCTCCTCCAGGCGACCAACCGGTGAAGGAGGATCATCGCTTTTGAGTCAAGTGCGTTGAAGTGCGCAAAGCACCATAAGCGGACTGGAAAGTGAAAGTCCTTCTTTTGTGGCCTGTCCGGAGATCCCATCCATCAGAGGTAGCAGCAGCACGAAGGCGCTGCAGTGCACTGTTCAACAGGCGCGCTTTCTGGCTTGACTGGGCCTCGTCGACTACAGCTGTAGCACTCGGTCTCTGCAAACAAGCAGACAACAAACAAAGCAAAAACACTACAATGCGGTGGGACAAAAAG